TTTTTTTTCAGATTTTTTTTTGGAAAATACTATTTCTGCTTGTCATGTTGTAAGATGAAAATTTTTTGGGAAAAAAATTCAAAATTTTACCTTTTCTGCATGTTTCTCATCAAATTACAGCATTTTGAGAATTATTTAAGAAAAAAAATAGTAGATCTCATTATTTCAAATGTTATTTATTAGAACACCAAAACAATCATGGATATATGGCTCAGGTGCTTAAATCAAGGTAGCATAGTTATGAAATAAAGATGTAGCTATTTTTGAAGTTAATGTAAAATTTTCTATTTTAGTACATTTATTTTAGTACATTTTTCAGTCTTCTGAATCGGCGATCTTCTTATTTAAAAAGAGAACCGTTTCCACAAACTCAAGGTAAGCACAATTTATGCAAGAATTCCTGTCAGGATAAAATTCACAACTTAAAAGGCACAAATAAGGCACTTTTACGAGAAGATTGCTTCTCTGAGAATGGCAAATATTTTACTTTAAATTCACCAGAAACTATATGGAAGATAAAACCATTTGTAGACTGACTAAACCTAAAATATCCTATTATAAAAAATTTGAAAAACCACCAAAAAACAAAACTAAAAAATATAATGTCCACGTTCTGCTAAGATTTACTTCAAAGCAGACATTGTCAAATTGAATAATATACAGAATTTGAATCTTTATTAATAAAGGCAGCTTTATTTTAGCACTTGTTTTTCACCGTTTTTTCAGCTGGAGATGTATTGGGAGTGACAACAAAAAACAATTTTAGAGGTCTGAGGTAAAAAATAAATCAATCTCCTCCCATGGCTTTTCTTTTATGAATCTTTCTGTTACATGTATCCACACCATTCCACTAAAGGCCATAAGAATATTTAGGAGTTTTAGTACCAGACTATGTTGTACTTTAACAGCCAGAATTATTATAATTATTATATATATTTTAATAATTTCATATATCACATTACAAACTTGCTCAGCAACAGACAGACTCAGGCAAAGTCTGCCATTGGTCTGGATTCATAAGAAAGTACTGGGGTTTTCATTAGCCACTAGATGAAAGTACTCTGGCTGCCCGTCACTCCGCACACTGCTACCTCTCTCCCTGTGACGGACTTTGGTGGACAGTGTCTTCCTCTTCTCGAAGCTCTCTCTCCCTCCTCCACGTTTCTTCAAACTGGACACAATCATTTCAGCCAGGTCCTGCTGGAGCCGCTGAAAGTTCTCTCTGAAACAGAAAGGTAAAAAAAAAAGGTTTAAATGTTTAAAAAGATTAAATTAGTCGACACTGTTAGATGAAAGAACCTACATTAAAAGGCAAAGATTATCATTAAGTGAATGCTTTAATTGAATGAAGTGAATCAGGAACACTGTAAAACTCAATATGTAAAAATTTAATTTTGATCAATTCTTTGACCAATGTCTTAATTACGTCTCAATTCTTTTTCTTTCAGTGACTTACGCTGTTGGTGGTGTTGGAAGGTTGTACTGTCCTCCAGTCACTCCTGTTAACCAGTACGTCATTTCTTTACCTTTACCCTAGAGAGAGAGAAAGAGGAAGGGAGAGAGAGAGATAGGGAGATACTTAATTCCGGTACTTTTTGATATTTATTTAATCCTCCATGTGGCCCTAATACTACGTTGAGGTTTCCTCAGAGAGATGAGAAAATAAAGTAAACTCAAAGTACCTTGAGATACGTCTCTCCTCTCTGTTCATACTCAAACATGCGGTCAGTTCTCTGCAGGGTGTTGATGGTGGACTGGCTGACATGGATTCTCAGAGCTGAAAAAGAAAACAAGAAAAGAATGGGTTGTACGAGTGAAAACCTGAGCAGTGTCTGACTGACAATCAGACTGTTGTCTCTTACGTAGTCCTGTGGACTCCATGCGTGAGGCAGTGTTGACCGTGTCTCCAAAAAGACAGTAGCGAGGCATCTTGTTCCCCACCACTCCTGCAGCACACGGACCTGGACATTGAAATAATAAAGAGTTTTTACACAAACTTGAAATTCAGATATTTTTTTCTTCTTTGCTTGGTTTCGAGACTCAACACTAAATTGACTGATGCACTGCAGCCACTAGATGACAGCAAGGTACCTCAAAAGAAAACAATAGATTTCAATAGAAGTCTTTGTTTTTGCTCACAGTTAAATGAGGCAAAAGTGTAATAATCTTCGAGAGAACTAGAGACCTTCCTTTAACAACATTATTTTACAACAGAAAGTTACACACCTGAATGCACACCAATACGAATCCACAGAGGGATACCAGGCAGGTGCTCCAGCTCAAACGTCCCCACAAAAGACAGGATGTCCAGGGCCATGTGGGCGATGTCAACTGCATGTCTGTCACCATTTCGTTTGGGCAAGCCTGACGCAACCATATATGCATCTCCTATTGTCTCAACCTGAAGGACATTGGGTTGAAATCAGTGTATATTTTTAATTAAAAGACATATCCCTAAAACGAAAGCTTAAAAAAAAAAAAAAAAAAACATTTTATTTATACATTTAAGGGTAGAATATGGAGGATTCTTTAGAAACATACAAAAGAAACTAAATGCATGGTATGTTATTATAAATTTAGAAAAAAAGCTTCGCGGAGACTATAATTTACCTTGTAGACATCATGGTGGTCTAGGATGCTGTCAAAGTTCTTGTAGATATCATTGAGCATGTCGACCACCTCCATGGGGGTGCTGTAGTGACAGAGCGTGGTGAAGCCCACAATGTCGCTAAAATAAATGGTCACCTCCTCAAACAGCTCTGGCTCCACTCTGCCGGTCTCCTTCAACGAACGCACCACTGGGCTGAGGAGAAGCCACGAGATGGAGGAGAAAAAAGCTTGATTCAGTCCACGATATTAAAACTAAATTTAATTTTATATCTGTATAAATTCACTGATATTTTACAGTATTTATAGTATTTTTAAATGATGTTTTATCTTAGAGACATTATTAAAAGAAAGCTGGCAATTATATATGATTTAAAAATTTGCATCATGTGAATTTTCAAATCATATTTAATTTTCCTAATGTTTATGTTTTGTTTCACTTTCACGGTTACATATACTTCAAATTTCTATCTTAACTCTTAACTCTATTGTACTAGTAAATATCGTGTGTCTTATGTACACCAAGTACTTCAAGTACAAAGTACACACTGTTTACATGTGCTATCATTCTAATTCTATTCCACTGTCTCTTAAAATCAATTTGTAAAATGATCAGCATTATAATCCGATATTACTTTCGACCACTAGCTGTCAATAGTTAGTACAACAGTGTGAAACATTAACTAAAGATGTTAGCCGGAGCTTTGCCAATGAAAAGAATCACTGCTGAAGTAAAAATATAATATATAATATATATAATATCTAAAGCAGGACTTTATTCAATTTGTAGCTCCAGATTTTTAAATCTGTTTATTTTACGACACTTGCAAATATATTACTTATTACCAAAACTTGTGCATTACTCTGCAGCTGTTACTGTTTGCAGCAACAAAAACTCACCCAGGCAGCAGCATAAAGTTGAGGCGATCAGCTCTGTCTCTCTCATTTTTGTAAAGCTGCGTTCTGTCCTCCACCAGATGCTCCAAAGTCCTGGAGTAGTTCTGCAGACGGCGGATCAGGTTGTCCATGTACGTCTCAGTGGCCTGGTTGTGTAGGTTACTGAGCCAGAGCACAGATAAATGATCAAATGGGAACATATGAACTCATTAACGTTCTCCCACGTACAAATGCCCATGTGATGTGTGACATACCTGAATATTTTACCCAGTGCCACCTCTATTCTTCTAAAATCCGGTCTCCGCTCTGGGTCTTCATCCCAGCAGTTTTTCATCAGCAAATATAACTGTGCAGCAACACACATAGAAAGTTTTACACACAGATACAAAACAAAAAACAAAAAAAAAGGAAATATGTGCTGCTGCAAATGTCTTCGCAGTTCTACCTCAGCCTCCCTCTCTGAGGCTCCGTCGAAGTTCAGATCAGGTCTAAACACTGCTATGCCATTAGGATACTGCACTCTCTGGATCTTCTCTGAGGGATCAGACAACCATCAGGTTAATAAGACGGACCACAGGCACGAAGCATTAGAGTCAGTGATGTTCACAGTTTATGATATGCTATAATACTACCTTTAATATCAGAGCAGTGCTGTGTGTAGAAGGGAGTTTGCCTCATCATGATCTCATGGGCAATGATGGCATAGCTGTAGACATCACCTTTCTGGGAGACTCCACCTTTACGAAGATGCTCCGGTGCTATCCACAGATCTGATGGGAGGAGAGAGGAGGGGAGAAAAGAGGAGAGCAGAGGAGACGAGAGGTTATAAAAAATACCTTTATTAAACAAATCTAGAAAAAACATAAAGGTAATATCACAACCTTCATATCAGGTCACACAAACTGAAAAAAAAAATCACAAAAAGTTCCACATCTTCCCCCACAGAAGACAACCTTACCCCCCCACCCCCTCCCATGTGGTTAAAAGTCTGATTATTGTCCATCATCTAGTAGTATACATACTCCACCCTACTTCACAGAGTATCTATACAGTATACATATAGTCATATATGTACACATAGTCAGATCACTTTTTCAAGACAACAGTTTGCTAACCATACATTAGGCGCAAAACCGGATACTGTGATCCGTGTGGAGGAAACAGGTAGCGGGGGACACCTGCACAAACAATTCTCAAATGTAAACACCACTTTCTATCGGCTGATGAGCGTGCGGCTCATTTTTCAAAAACACAACCAGAGCTTTGTTAGTTCGTGAGGCGGAGATAGTTTGTACGGCCTACCTGCTTATCGATAGCCAACAACATCCTCTCCACATCCGGCAGAACAATCCTGACATACCTGGCGGACGGACCGGGGTAGCGTCCCGGAGGACGCCATTCCTCCCGAGAAAAACATCAAGCAACAACCCGACCCTTACCACAAATATCAAAAACAGCTTTAGCCGATTAAACACTCTCGGGAGAAAACGGAGTGAGAGCATATATTCAAAAGTCCGCGCCATTAGCAAGCAACCACAGCTACTAGCACAAACCGGAAACGGAAGTAGAGGAGAGTGTAATACTTCTCTAACAAATGACTTGTTTACACTCACCTCTGCCTGGGCTCAGGATGGTGTTGCAGCCGAAGTCGGTGATTTTGACCACCATACGGTTGTCAACCACACAGTTTGTGGACTTGAGGCGTCCATGTGTCTCAATATTACTGGAGTGAAGATAGGACATGCCCTGAAGGAGTTCAAAACCGTCTTTACATTCATAACTAAAGAAAGGCTGCATCATTTACTTATTAAAAAAAAGATTTGTGTTGAGCAAACCTTTGCAATGTCATTCATGACTGATATCTTAAATTCCATGTCCATGAATGTTTCATCTGGGTAGGCGATCCTGTCATTCAGAATGTACTATAAAAGAGAGGAAAAAATTCAATAAACTGTGTCCAGATGTAGACTGACTTATCGCAGCAGTGTGATAAATCTGAGAGGTTAGCAGGTGATGGTCACTTATTAACTGGACACAAAAGACGCTGGTGGAAGAGGAGAAATCAGGTCATAGACATTGTTTGTTTTAGTAAAATCTAAGAAAAATAAAATATCCACAATATATTATATATATATATGAATAAAACTCTTAGTAATTTTGATACTAAAATTCCCGACCTGTGATTTACCAACGTGTGCAGAGAAGACTACAAATCTAAAGAGTTAATTTATTAAATCTAGAGTCAAAACAATTATTTAGGTTTTTCTTTCAATCTAACACTGATCTTTGAATATTCAAGTCCAAAAGAAAGGAAAAAAGTAAGGTTTTTCTTACCCTGAGGGACCCACGTTGGCACAGCTCAAACACTCCAAACACACCGTACTCAAACTTGACCGTCCCGTAGAACTTGGTTAGGTTGTAATAATCGATCCGGAGCAGCTGAGGAGAAGGACAGAGAAGGTGAGTGAGGCCTGGCTGCTGCAGTGTTAGGGCTCTTCAGAACACACACACTGTTGTCTTACAGTGTTGAGTTCGATCTTCTGTTCCTCCGTGAAGTCTGTGTCCAGGTGTTTCAACTCTTTCAGGATGATGGGCTGAATGACAGGGAGACAACGCATGGCTCAACATGTCCACAACTCCATTGATCTATGTGTCTCTTTGTACGTCTCCGTATTGATTTCTGGAGGTGCAAACGTTGGTACCTTTTTGTCGTAGCAGCCTCGGTGAGAGAAAAACGTGCTGTCTTTTCTCTTATCTTCATCAATCTGTTACATAAGGACACACACACACACAGACACACACAAACATATTGATGAACTATTGTTAAACACACACACACACCTTTCCTATACCTCAGCTCCTCACACAGCAGCTTCTATGGTCCCACCAGGTAATACATTAACCAAATACCATCCATAGTTTCTGCTTGATCCATATCACACTGTCACCGTTATAAAAATCAACAACAAACGACAACTGGTGGGAGTAAAACGAGATTTCTTAGAAAAGAAGAAATTATTAACCCCAGTGTGTTGTGAAAGATTGTGGAATCCTTTCGATTAGCTTTGCAGTACCGTTCACAGCCACACGAGGGAGAAAAAGTCCAAACAACATTATTGGTGTTGATAAAAAGGAAATTCTTTCTATGGACTCTCAATATTATTAAAGGTAATATTTTTTTATTTTTTTATTTTTTGTTTAAATATTTAAAAAAATACAAAATGTAAAAAAATAAAGTATTTTATGCAAACTCTTTTCCAATCAGGAAATAATTGACGTGTGAGTTCAACACAGGGTTGGTGTGTCAGTTTCCTTCTCTGATTTGACTGTGTAGGAAATAATAAATGACGCCGTTTACCTTCAGTGATACTTCTTTCTGATCCAGAGGACCAATCAGATGTGCGTCGATGTGTGACCATTTCTTCTGCATGAGACGCTCCTTTCTATTCTGCCTGGCATGCGTAAACAGACACACATGCACACAAGCAAATGCACAAACGTTAATAATTATGAGTAACATTTAGAATACTGTGTTGATAGTTTTATTTTAGGACCTGCTTATGCTTGTACTTTGTTTTGAATACACTGGTTTGTGTCCCAATCCGTGGATTGCAGCCCCAGTCAGATCTACTCAATCCATATATAATGTAAGCCGTGACGTGTAGACTCCACACCGTCGAACACAGCTATTCTCACACCTATTTATTTTAATCCGAACAACTGTTGACTTCAGATCTTTGGCTCTCAGTCTACATGAGGAAGACCGGGCTGCAGCCCACTGACTGGGACACAACTCGTGCTTTATGTGTGTGCTTCCGCTCTACCTGTAGAAGATTAGGGCGACGAAAGTCACCACTACGACACTGATGCTCAGAACAATCACAATCACATCCTGAAAACTTATACCTGGGAAGAAAACACACAGTGTTGTTACAAAAGGATTACTTCTCTCATGCTCAAGGTTGATCCTTAGTCTTTAGAAATTCAAAATTCTGTCAATTAGAGATGTGTGTGTGTGTGTGTGTATATATTACGGTGACGATCTTCTGGAACATCATCAGGCAGACGATTATCTTTCCAGGGCAGAGAGGGGTTCATGTCGATCACTCTCGTCTCATTCGTTGATGAATCGAACACGGCCAGTGTTGTGTACTGGAGAAACACACACACACACACACGTTGATGTGCACAACCAAACTGACAACAAACAGGATGGCAAAAGGCTTCCAGTCTCACCTTTCCAGTGACCGTTGACGTGTAGATGATGGAGTAGTTCACGTCTCTGTCACCGTATTCATCAAGTACATAATGACCTCCCATTCCTATTTACAACCAACACAACACAATACACACATCAGAGAAGGAATGAGTGATATACGTAAGGACACAGATCGGTAAATATAAATATATAATCTTAAACAAATGCAAGAAAAATATAACCTATAACCTTTAGCAAAACTTAAAAAAAAGAAAAAAACTTAACGTAAAGAAAAGAATAGACAGAAAAGATCAAATACATTAGAAAAGTAAAGAAATACATTTAAACATGTTTTACGTCTCAGTCGATCATCATTAAAGGCCTCTCACCATCAAAGATGACGTTTCCAAATGGATTAGAGGTCAAGGGATCTTTATCCACTCTCCTGTTGTTCTGCTGACTCATCATTTTCTCTCGGAGCACCTTCCCAAACAGCAGGGTTCCATCGTGATATCCAACAACGTAGTCATTGATCTGGGGATTAAAACAGAGGCAGAGAGTCAGACTCCTGTACCGCCACCGCTCTCCTTCTCCGTGCTGTTCGCAGCTCACGGCTCACCGTGCTGTTGTAGTTCCTCTGTGGAAGCGTCATCACCAGAACGTTCTTCATCAGTTCACCAGACGTGGTATTGACATAATAATCTGGGCTGCAAGGAAAGAAAACCGTGTTTTGGTGAAAACAAATTTTTCTGCCACTGTTGAAGTTTCGGCCAGTGTCTCACCTGTAAATGTCCAGCAGCATGAACATGATGTCCTCGTGTATCGGCCCGGTCTCGGCCTTAATGGACGCGATCTCATTACGGCTCCCACACATGATGAAAACTGAAGTGAAAACATGCTCTCTTAGTCACCAACTCCGACAAAAATATATATTTTAAATAGGTTTAATGTTTTTATTTAAAAGAAAAAAAATCACTGTTGCTTTTTCTCTTCTCATCTTTCAGAGCATCCTTCAGCTCTTTCTCACCACGCAGCATGTATCTGTTTACGTTTGTTGCGAACTTTTCTGAGGGCGCTTCCAAAGCATTAATGTACCTGAGGAGAAGATAATCAATAAAACAGAAGAAGAAGAAAAAGAAGCAGGAGGAGGAGGAGAAAGAGAAGATGAAGCTTTTTTTTAGTACATGTGTATATCCACAAACATATACATATATATTATAGACACTATATACTGTATGTATACATGTACTATATACTTACCAGAAACAGTCCTCTGATGAATTACTGTTCAATTTGTAGACATACACAGTGTTCCACTCCCTCTTGAATGAATGAGTTTGTTCTAGGAAGTTAAGGAGGAAGTTGGATATTTTTCTTGCTGGAGGCAAAATTCGTGTCAGTTTGGGTTTGTAGTTACACGACAGGCCGAAACTGCCGGCGGAGATGATGGGGATGCTCAGACTGAGGCCAATTTCTTGACTAAAAGCAAATGACAGGGTGTGAAAAAAGTCAGTCACGGCAGTTGTAGATTGTTTATAAAGTAATAGTTCAATGTCATACTCACTCCACCAACTGGTAGGTGGCGTAGGTGCAAGACGGTCCCAGCATGATACACCCAATTTCTCCATTTTCCTGTATGTTATATGCAGTTGTTCTGTCATTACATGCTTCAATTATAACTGTGTAATTTAAAAATAAACATGTATGTCTGTCATGTAGTTGTAGATACATTCAGGGGAGTTGCTCTTCAGGCCAGGACTCTGCTGTTCACTAGCATCTCAGGGATAAATGGATGAAGAGGTGAAGTGTCTTCAGGAAACCTTAACTGTTCTGCTATTCAGGCTTAATATGGATTTTGTTTCATGATATTTGCTCCATTTTTTAGCATGTGCTGCTCTATTATCCAGTCTGACGTGTGGCGTCAGGTGTAAATCTGCCAGAGCTAAATCTGGTGCTTTTATTCTATGTTGTACAAATAATACCAGAGTATTTTACAAAATCAGAGAACCAAACTTACATACAGCTTCTTGAGTATTGCCACCCCCTCACATGTGCTGCTGCCACAGCCCTGACGTCTGTAGATGGTGGTGTTGAAGCTGTTGTAGTTCGCCGTCAGCCTGAAGTCCAATCCTGGAGTCGACAAGAGCAAAACAGAGTCAGTGGGGTGTTACTAAGATACAATGCGATAGGATATGATACAATACGATACGATAAATTTACTTTATTTGCCATTTGTGCAAATAAAGTTCTGTTCAACTGTTCAAACACATAGGAATTTCCAGTATGGTCTGCCCGGGTCATTTGTACATCATACATTTAAAATTTTAGTGGTTTTTTTTTTTATCCTTTTTATTACAATAAACATCAGGACTACATGTATTTCAATCTATTTATCTCTCTCTCCTAAAATCACATTGGTGACATCATAGTACATAATACTATGCCGTGTACATAGTGTACTTAATTGTTGTTGAAGTTCCGGCCATGTGTCATTTAGTTTTATGCTGTCCATAAAACTGTTTTTAAGGAAATAATATTGTCAACAAAGGAGCTGGACGTTGTGAGTTGCATTTAACCAACAGTACCGATACCTTGTGCCTCGTTCTCCATTGCATCCACAACAATGGCTTCCTCCACAGCCTTCTTTACCAGCGGCAGACTCCACTCATACGTGTTGTCCTCCAGCAGCACAACATTGATGGTGTATTTACGAGACAAACAGTCATCAAATATTTTGTTGCCCAGCACCGTCGCTGTCAGCACTCCCAGGTAAAGTAAACTGTGCCAGCAGTGCATCTTGACCTCCAGGATTTTTACTCTCTCAGGCAGAAATTCAGCTTAACCTCCAGAGTTTCTACATGACAAACATTTAAACCTCGGGGCAGGTGAGAGGCTGAAAAACTAAAGTCTTTACATCTGTCCACCAGACCAGATCCTCTCCGCTGAAGATGAAAGAGTGAAAAGCAGAAGTTTACAAGCTTCCCCCGTGACTAAGCAAAAGTCTAACAGTCATTGTCCAAAAACACGGGAAATGTTCTGAAAGGTGAATCCAGATACTTCGAGGAAACGCCGGCGAAAACGCAGAGATCAAACTCAAGAAAGAAGCTCTTTGTACAAACTGTTCCCCTCGTGGGAGCCTGAGGTCAATAATCCTCCACCTTAGTGCAAGCCTGTCTACCTGTCCTGCACGTGTTAATGAACAACTGTGGAATGACAGCTGATGCGCCCAGCAGAGGGAGGTTACGCAGCCCAGCGCAGACTCTCCCACAAACCACCTGCATTGATTTGTCCAATACAAGTTCACTCAGATGACAATTGATCCTGTTGGTAAACATTGGGTTCAGAAACACAGTCGTCCGTCGCTTTAACAGAATCACGGCTTAGTCTCAAATCAAAGCAGGTTGTCGAAGACTGAGAGATAAAACAGAAATATAAACTTCATTCACACGACGAAAGAAGATCAATTCTACTTCCTCGTCAAATTATCATTTATGTTGATGGTGAAACCAGTGGTAAAAATGTTTCTTTTTCCCTTTTTAACACAATAGAAGACGATGTGAGGACAGTCGTAGTCGGTAGAAGGCTTGCACTGTGAGAGGAGCGAAGGTCAAAAAAAGGGCCATAAAAGTGAAGGCTTATGTGGAGCTGATAAATATTGTCTGCTGTAAAAGTAGGGTGGATTAAGACTATAAATCTCCTGTCCACACTGTTGAATCACCTCTTTTTTGACTGAACCAGCTTTGATCCTGTTAAAGTCTCCGTTGCTGCCAAACCTCAAGACTTTTTTGAAACTGTTTAAAAATTAATTACTGTGTTTTTTTTATTTAATGCTTATAATTTCATCAATCATCTCATATTTTAACCAAATGCTGTCTGTAAAAAAATGTTTTTATGACTAATTTAACGTCACACAGAGTAACAATGTTTTCTAATCCATTGTTACCTCTCTTTTTTTAACCAAAACAGCAAGATAAGGAAACACTCTATTTGTAACACTCGAACTGCTGTCTGTGTTTGTCATTGTCAGTCTCAAATTTCCCACTTCCTAACATCTCATTCTGCTGCTAAGGGAAAGCTTAAGTGATTTTTCTTTTTTAGCTAGCTGTGGCGTTTTCATTATTACCATAGTACATTTAATTAAATGAGTTTATTGTACGTGTGATAAATGATATGTTCCAGAAAAAGAAGTTTACTGTGTAAACAAGTAAAGAGTAAACACGTCCTCACGGCCAATGTTCCAAATTAATTCTCCTAATTTCCAGTACAGAGAAACATCAGTGTGTTTCCTGTCTGACTACCACCTCACAGTCATAAAGACCTTACACAAACATTATGACGCAGTACTAACGCAGTCAGTGAGGGCATTGCCATGTTCCCCACTACGGCCTCCGGCTCATTATCAGACGGAGGAAACGAAAACGTCTTAAAAGAACCGACTCCTGGTTTTATTGCTTTAGGGTGTCAGTGTAGCAGCTGTGGCTGTTATTGTTGCTCTGTGTAAATGGGTCTCAGTGAGCACTTAGTTTAATGGAAGATAAGGCTGCTTTAATATTGGCACCTGGGCAGGTGTGCTGTCACGTAGTCCACTACACACACAAATAAGTCCATCGCCCATGTTTTCCCCTAGTGGCAGATAAAAGTAACACCTGACCTATAGCATTAAATAATACAATATAAATACAGACAGTACAATAATATATTAACACTCATCAGGCTTTGAGGAAAAATTTTTCTGTAGAGACAAATTTGAGACAACCAGTCTCAAATTTAAAAAAAAGTTTCCTTGAGGCCTATTGAAACCAACAGGAGACCAACAACGGGGGAGACAAACGGTGGTTAGGTATTGACAGACAGAACACTGGAGTTAGTTGAACAATTGAAGAAAACCAAACAGTCTGAAAGACTTTGCTTTAACAAGTCGGTGTTTGCTGGGATTAGAAGAAACATTGGGCTAAAAGTCAAAGTTAAGATAAAGAAGATAAAGTTCATCATCACAAATTCTAATGATTAGTTGGTTTATGATTAGTCAGTAATGGCCCGCCGCTATCTCCTACATCATAACCACATCAGTCATCCACGTCTTCAGCCTTCTGAATAAATATCAGGCGTCATTGTGGTAAATTGCTCCTGTCAGACAACAGGAAGTGGGAAAACAAACTTCACTTTTTACCATAAAATCAAGACCGTTTCCCATATACGGCAAGACTTCACACAAATTAGTTGTATAATAGCCCGAAGGGGGTCACACTGCTTTTCGTTTTGATATTATCACCCATTTCAAATGTCTGGTTAATGCATCAGTGATTTATGAGGGCTGTGAAATGCAGTGCAGATAAAACACTCAAGTGATTTATGGTGCCAGTACTGAGTCAGTGGCCTGTTGCAAAACTGCCCTAAACAAACATTGGTACCAACAGTCTGTGACAATGGTGTCAGTAACAAAGTGACCAGGCCAATCCATCAACAAAGGTGTTTCCATATGTGTTTGTCACATTAATGACCACTGATAAAATCCCAATGCCAGTCAATTTAGCAACAAATTATTATTGTCAGTTTGTCTTCCAACCATTATCTGGTGAGTGACCAAAAGACCAAGGTCCACTTCAGGTGACCAGCAGGGGGTTGGGAGATTGAAACATGCTAAAAATGACAACTATTGTAACTGCAATCAGCTATTATCAGCTAAATGCATTAATACCTAGAAATACTTTATAAAAAGGTTCGGCTTTGACAATGCACGTTTTGTAAATTTATAAAAAATAATATATTTTTAAGTAAGGCTAGTATTTATAGTAATGCCAAGTCCAAATGTGTTTTTTCACAACACCTGGAAGTTATTTTCATTGATAGAGGTCAACAGGACCTAAGATTGAAGACTATGACAGTTTGGCTTTTGAAAATACTAAGATTAAAGTAGTAATAGTAATTATTTTAATTATTACTTTTATATTTTTCTTGTTGACAACCTAAATGGAAAAACAAAACGGGTCCCATAAACAATACAGCAAAGGATAATCTCCCATCGTTTCTCCCTCTGCTGTCACGCCCTCTAGTGGAGTTTGCACGTAACCACAACTGCTGCAGAGAAAATCTTCATCCCATGTGGTAATCTAATCGAATATTCTTGAATCTACTCAAATCTAATCCTCGTAGGTCCAGACACATGAAAGTAGTCCACTGTCCTCCAAACATTCTCTCTGTTCTCTTTCGCGGTTTAGAGTTAATTAAAAATTCTGTGGTCAGTTTGCCGTACGGTCTGTCGTAATACAACGAGTTGGACTAATACTGAAGATACGGCATGAAGCATTTTAACAGCTGTCAAACATGTTTACACAACACTGTAATTTACAGGCGATTTTTTTTATCTTAAAGTTTAGCTCATATATTATTTATTGTTTGTTAGTAGAGCTTGGTTAAGTACTAGTCGTAGTACGTATACTACTGTTTATTAAACAGGTTGTGTAGTTTTAATGTGAAGGGGAGACCGGAAGTGTTGTCATGTTATTTTGTTTTTTTAAGAGTTAGATTTGGGTTCGTTACAGAGACATTTACTTTGGTGTGTTTAACGTCTTCATAACATGGTTATGTGACTGCCGCATTATAAACCACGCCCACTCCTGACGTACGTCATACGTCGTACTCTGGTTGTGATTGGCCGTCGGCTAAAACATTCTCCCCTGTAGAAGAAAAAAACCCTCACAGAAATCCAACACGTTCTGCACGACGTGTTTGTTAAAACCTGAAGGCGAATGGATGGTTTTTTTTCAAGAACGGAGCTGAACAGAACCGAGCCAGACCGAGACAGCGGCACCGAAGAGGCAGAGGCAGAGGAGGAGTCGGCTTCCCTCATCAGAAGAGGAAAAAATCCTCAGAATTTTAGCTTTGAGATCCGTCTTTTTTAATAGTTTTAAACAGTTCGTCAGATTCTTGAAGACATTCCGGTGTCATTGTGGGTTGTTTTTTTTTTAACTTATTGATTTATTTTTGTATAATTTACGTGCAGCTGCCTTTGCATGCACTAAGGTCGGACCTGCAGCTCTTGGCGTGCAAGAGCGTAAATAACAGTAAACAATAAACAACACCGGGGGGTAACAGACATGGACATGGCGAGATTGAACGGCTTCTCCTGCGACAGGAACATCCTTTGTCTGTTTGACGTGGACGGAACCCTGACAAGACCCAGAGAGGTGAGTTCGACCCACATATCATCACACAACACCAGGTCAACATTGCATCAGTGGCTCTTCAACAAGCTGTGGCTGTTACACGCTTTCGTAAGAGGGGCAGTGTGTACCTCGTGTTCACGGAGTCATGTGGACCGAGGCTCTGTCCTTCTGTCCCAAACTCACCTCACTGTTATTTACCCCACATCAGGGTCATGCCACCACAGAGGTGTCCCTGGTATCTGATACAGTGTGCAGTGTGTCCTGATACTGACACCTCACATTATCGGTTCAAAATAGCCGATACCTTTTGAAGGTTTTCCATCACCTATCAAAGTCCCTTTTTATTTTAATTTCAAAGGTGTCACATTTACTCACAGGAAACAAAAGTAATTTAAAGTCACTTTAAATTACCATTTCATATCACGAGTGTACTTATTTAAAACCGTAGAAGTCAAGGCCAAACATTTCTCAGCAACAAAGTCACATGTTGTAGTGGAATACACTGTACCTTATCCTGTAGAGTAGAAGGTTTGCTTCTTTAAAGTTATCTTTTCCTCCTTTTTTTTGGGCAGAAAATCGAGCCACAGTTGGACCAGTTCCTTCAGATCCTGCGGCGGAAGGTGAAGATCGGCATCGTGGGAGGGTCAGACTACTCCAAGATTGCAGAGCAGCTCGGGGAGGGAGACGATGGTGAGCCACTGTCTGGGAAAGAGCACATTTTATTTCATATATCATAACAGTTTACACAATCACACAGCCGGGCCTAACATTTATTACTAAAAGATGGTTGGTGGTTCGAAGCCAAACTCCTTCAACCCTCATTAGAGGATCAGTGTCAAAGGGTGACAGCGCAACATGAGAAGATAGTTTAGTCTCATAATGTTTCTTTCTATCAGGTAATTATCAAGGTTTGACAAGAGGTTTATAATCCTTTATGTTCCACAAACAAATTAAACAGACAGTGACAATAGGCACTGCACCACCCAGACCTGCAGCCAAATCACACTGACACACTGACCCCATGCACTGCATTGCCTACAGCACATCAGCTGAGTCAACACCTGAAACTCACACACACACAGACATGCCTGTATAGACCTACCAGTCACTGGACGTGTCTGGAATGCAGACTGATTGTTGCAATAGAGCAACTTTATTTCATCATTTCATCAGGCCTGGAGTAAAAGAGCAGGAAAGTCTAGAGATAGGACGTCCTGCATGTCCTGGGACAAAAACTGTCGTCAGGTGTTCAGACAGTTCTGTTCTTCTGTATGTGTATATATATATATATATATTAGCACATATATTAGCACATTTACTTCCATTCCACACTAAAACGCTCATTTCCTAGGAGTTGAAGGCATGTGATAACACGCGTGTTGAACAAGCACCAAAAACTCATGTGCTGCACAGTGGCCCACTGCTCCTCTCCTTCATAAAGGACACATTTTGTGGTGTTTACATAAATTGACTTTTTTTTTAAAAAAAACTCTTCTGTTTATTTCTTCTTTTTTTTTACAGTTGTTCACAAGTTTGATTATGTGTTTGCTGAGAATGGAACGGTGCAGTACAAGGACGGCAAACTCATCTCCAAACATGTGAGTGTTATTCCCATTGTGTGTCCCTGAAAAAGTAGATTTTTCTACAGTGACACTGCCAGGTTAATTTTCTATAGCTCTAAAGTTAGTAATTTTTCCTTTAATTTTTTTTCTTTTTTCTGAAGGCTATCCAGAACCAGATTGGTGAAGAGCTTCTGCAGGAACTGATCAATTTCTGCCTCAGCTACATGGGACTCATTAAGTTGCCAAAGAAAAGGTGACATTTTGAGGACATGAAAATATTTTTTTAGCCAAACAAAACTTCCAAACTTTAAAAAAATCCTAACATACTAATGAGTCAGAAACCACACCTGCAGAGGGACGTTCATTGAGTTCAGGAACGGGATGCTCAACATTTCTCCCATTGGTCGCAGTTGCTCCCCCGAGGAACGGAAGGAGTTCTCTGAAATTGACAAGGTAAATAATTATGCAACCAATTTCAGTGCATCAACTTTTAAGATGACCAAACGTTTGCATTGAGGCGTTCAGGTTATGTGGTAAGAAAATGACGTCATCAGTTTCCCAGCAGATCAGTGACTTGGTCGAACCTGCTTTAGTTTATTGACTGTGATTGAATTATCACATCATTCTTAATGTTTTTGTCTTCATCTGAGTGTGGAACCACAACCTGAGGAAAGAAAGAAACAGTTACTGAATTAGAACACATCGAACCACAGCTCGGTCTGTGTTGGAGAAAGATAGTGAGTCAGACAATGGTGCGTTGTCAGGACAGATGAACAGACTGTGCATTCATGGTTCAAAGAACGGGGCGACATGGACGAAACAGAAGAGGCAGAAGTAAAAACCAAACGGATGATGTGTGCATTTATACAAATACACAACTCTGTTGGCTCCAAAGATGGTTAACAACATTCGATTGAATCAAAAACAAACTGTTCAACTTAATTGTTTTGTTTTGTTTTGTTTTTTCAGAACTAGAAGATAAATTGTCACTATTTGTGGTGACACTTGTGCTTGCTTCCTTTTCACTTCTGCAGAAAGAGAAGATCCGAGAAAAGTTCGTTGCTGCACTGAAAGAGCAGTTTGCAGGAAGAGGTTTACGGTTCACAAAAGGTGAGAGAGTTGTAAGCTGAAAAGCCATGGAAAGAAAATGTTGCCATTCTTACTTTGAGACAAAAAATTGCTTAAAAATTAAAACATTACAAGACACAAAAAGTTAATGCAGCAACACGATTTGCTTAAAAATTAAAAGACACAAAAAGTTAATGCAGCAACACGTCAGCCGAATAATAATTAACCAAAGAAAAACTCTGTGTTGCTGGAGAGTATTTTTCTAGTGTGTTTTGAATACAGGGATGCTTTTCTGTCAGGGACACTTTCTATAAACAACAATCAGACCTGGCGGAGAATGTTTTCAGGCAGAAAAACAAGCTCAGTGCAGTCTTTCCAACAATGGTTTAATGACAAACAAGTTCCACCGCGTGCACACCCGTGAGTCTTTGTGTATTTTTCAGTGGGTTTAAAAAGCACACCCATGGCGTTCTGAGGACAACGTGCTGGACGTCTGAGCGCTAGGTTAACCATTACAGAAACACACTTTGCTCTGTCCTTCTGTCCACACAGCAGCTGTGAGGTGAATCAGATTCGGGCTGTTTACTTTCGTGCTCCAGGAGGTGTTAGCCTCGGCTGGTGACGCATGAAAGTGGGTCACAGGTCACGCACACAAAGAAGACACCGTTCCCCCAGGCTGAGGTTATTATGGGGCTAAAGTTTGGCACATGTTTAGCTGCTGCGCTGACTCTGTCATCAGCTACGTGTGCAGGATTTAGAGAACAGTATCAATGATGAGTTAAGGCAAATAATATTGACCAGTGCTGACCTTTTCTCGACTGGATGACATTGACACCTGTGGAGATTCCTAAGGCTAAAAATAAAACCACATCATTCTATGTAACAGTAATACCTGCATCATAATAATAATAAAATGTCATGTCTGTATTCTGGCAGTGATTGAAGGCCAGGTAAAAACAAATAGATAGATAGATAGCACTTTACTAATCCCTTGGGAATTCCCTTCAGGAAATTTAGGGACTAAAATGACTGAAAACTTGTCATCAAGTCTCAAAAACTCAAAGCTCCTGGACTGCCATGCAGCAAGTACAAAGAGATTCTGGTCCTGATGATCTAAAGGTTCACTTTTCATTCTGAGGGGACTGAATCCTCTCTACTTCCTAGTAGAACATTTTCTTAATTAATCATTGACCATGTTGTTTCAAAGTTACTTCTTTATCAGTGAAGAAGTACACACAGATGTGTACCATGAAGAGAAAAAGATACTTCACTGTAGAATCAGCTGATTTTTATCTGTTGTTTGTCAGTGTATGAAAGACAACAGCCTCACTGACCTCACTTCCACATGTTGGTTTGTCTGATTTTAGATATATATATATATATATATGTGTGTGTGTGTATATATATATATGTATGTATGTAGTTGAATATTTTTAAAATTTTTATCTGCTCTGCCTCAGAGATAAAAACGCTGTGTCATCTTTGTACATAGACACATGGACAGCAGTTCTGCAGGACAGAAACCAGCAGACTCTGTGAAGGGCGGGTAACACAGCTAAATCCATGACATGTTTATGTTCTGGGGTGTGAGAGAGGGACAGAGGCGTGTAGAGGGTGTGTGAGGGATGCAGTGCACTGATTGGTGGGATGCTTATGACGTCTAGGCTTTTGTCATTCGTTCTTTAAACTGACAGCTGAGAGACCGGGGGGGGGGGGGGGGGGGGGGGGGTAAGAGAGGAAAACAAAGGGAAGATCTTCACAGGAGACCTTTCAGCCTCAGATCACAGGTCACTGTGATGATTTGACTCTGGGTGGAACAACAACAGAAACATTTGTCTGAGCTTCATTCATGCGAATGTAATTAGCTTCAACACTGCTCAGACTGTTGTCTGGTGTTGAAGTGCTAATTGATGTTAATTAGAGTTTTTTCCAACTGTAATGTTAACTGTTTGACTCCATGTAAATAATGTAGGTGATAAAAATTAACAATGTCCTTACCTGGTTTCAGGCGGCGTCATCAGCTTTGACATTTTTCCAGAAGGCTGGGACAAGAGATTATGTCTGGAGGTGCTGGAGAGAGAAGGGCTGGACGCCATCTACTTCTTCGGCAACGAGACCACCGATGTGAGTTTAGGGTTTTCTGCAGAACAAGAGGCAAACGTGGGAAAAACAAAGTTTAACTGTTTTTAGCAAATCTGTCCTGAACTAAATTCAACCACTGTAATTTAACCCATCTAATAAAACGTCATATATGCTCTCCACTATGGACAGTAAATGACCTGGTGGGCCAGATTCGCCCACGGGCCCCGAGTTTGACGAGTGACCTAGACAGTTGACAGTTTAAACTCTGGGAAGTGTTTGCCTAGAGCTCAGTACTTCGTCATCTCACTGATAAATCCACTCTGTTTATTTACTCCTCAGGGAGGAAACGACTATGAAATATTCAACGACCCCAGGACCATTGGCTTCACAGTTTACTCTCCAGACGACACGGCTCGGCTCTGTCAGGACATTTTCTTCAATTCTGCACAAAACAGTTCCTGAGGCACTGACTCCTATGACTCCAGCCACAGTCCTGGCTCCAGGAACTTTAACCCTCGTGTCCTCCTGAACTAAAGGTTTTTTTTATTTAATGAACTGCTAAAACATACCACTACTGATTGATTGATATTATTGCTTTGTTACTGTTTATTAAATCCCACTGTTGTCATTTTTAAAGGAATGCAGTAAGTATTAATGTGAGGTTGTTTTTTACTGTGACAGAGGTTATATTTAAGTGCAGTATGTAGAAGGTCACATCAAGTTAATCCAAGAGAGTTTATCAAAATGTATATTCATCCAGATTAGAATGATATTTTGCACTAAGGTTGACCTGATGTAATACCAGAGTTGGATGATAGGAACAGGCCGTGAGTGTGTGAGAGAAAGTGACACTGTCGACCAGTGTGTGTGTACTTTTAACATGAAATGTGAATGAATGAATGAATGAAACTCCAATAATGATTTTGTAAGAGTCAGTAATTAACCTCACTGAGCTTAGAACGGCTGGACAAAAAGAAGATTTTATTGTTGGGTATTTAAGTGGAAATTCAATGTGTAATTATTGGTGACATGACTTGGTGTTTATTTGCTTGATATTTCATTTGCTGGTGTTGAATAGTGTGTTTAAAAAGGGACCTTCTTGTTTTTATTTTTTGTATTTTTAATGTAAAGTGATTGTTGTTGTTTTTTAGGAAGGACAACATAATAATGTGATAATGAGTATTTGGATGAATAGGACATTCACACATCTGCAGACAGACGTCCGACTGTAAACACTCCCTGCATAACATTTGCACAGCACAACAGTTACTGTCAGTGTGTTTCTGAAGAAAAATGTTATTTTTCACTCATCGGATTAAAAAAATATTTTGTGTCAGTAAATCTTTTGATAACACGTCACCAACAGCCTGTGTCATTATTTACTGTTATACATCTTTATAAAAATACTTTAGTGAGTCACTTGACCTATGGTGTAATTTCAGTGATCATCACTGACACATGGTGATGATTTTGCAAGATTTATCATTATATCTTTGTCAAGTGACACAGAAGTCTTCAGTCTTACAGCAAATGGATAAAACAAATGCAAAAAGCTTTATTTTCATAAATAACTTTTCTAAATGATATAATCATTGGAAACAATGATTACATATTTTTTATTTTTCTTTAAAGAAAAGAGTTAATTTAAATGTCTTAATAGTCTTAATTATTTACTGTAAAAGATAACATAAGTAACATCAGCTACATGTAGATCCACAATATTATAAACATTATACTCATCTGTGCACATTCACTAATCAGAAAACAAGTGGCAGACGATTAAAATTAATATTTTGTTGAGCATAATCCTGATTTATATTTTTAACTGGGCAGCAGTGGGTTTTTGTTTCTTTAAACTGAAATAAAACGTTGAAAAAATAATTAGGTTATATTTCATCATTTCTTGTCTTCAGTTCTGACCTGGTATTCAATGTACAGAGAAACACTAACCAAGGCTGCATTCGAAGGACAACGGAGGTGCAGTGTTTTCGTTGTTGCCTCAGGCGGAAACCGACGGGTTGTACAAACTTGTTGGTTGTTGTTCAAACCTCTTTTGTCAGCAGGTGGCGTAGTTTGACCTAGATTTAGAGGAAGCAGTTGAAGATTTCCATCACTGTTAAAAGTTGTTTCCCCAAAGGCAAAACCTGACACATGATGTGTAAATCACATGTTTTCTGCTGGTTTAAATTCCCCCTAAAACACCCCCGTTTCTGTCTCGCGTTGTCTTGGTTGAAACAGAGAAAGTCGCACATCCACATACATGTGTGACCCTAATAACTCAGCTTTAATGTTCATTTAACAGTTTTTTTACTACAAATCTACGTACAGAAGTCTTTCGTATATGTCACACCACATATTCACGTCTTACTTTCACCGAATAACAACAGTATCAGTGAGACAGTAAAACGTTTTAATGTCCCTTCATGGCTCAGGTGAATCAGTCGTGAAGGCAGAACCACCCTGTGGCCCGTCAACAACACAAAGTGCATTTAAATGTGACAAAAAATACAGGCGATGGGACAGGGATTACAGGAAATGAGGTAACACTGAAGTGGTCCTGGGATAACCAACAACATGGCTACATTCAGATGTTTACACACCGGATGCCGAAGCTATAGCGACGATTTGGCTTTGCGTTAAGACAAATCCACAGTTCAGGGGCAGAGAACCCCGAAAACAAGTCCCAGAGCGGAGAAGTTAAACATTTTTGTCTCTGCGTCTCCGTGTGAACAGAGCAGGGCGAGACGATGCTGTCAGCCCCGCCTCTTCGTAAGGTTTCAACAGTCATACACAATAGCTACAATGGCGGATGCTAGGCTACTTCTCATCGTGCTAAAGGGGCTAATTCATACATTATTCCACTTTTGAAGCTCCATTTTGAGCGACTTTGTTTACCTTTCGCAAGCTTAATACTCACACTCTGTGCCGCCTTTTTTGAAATTCCGGTTTAATTTTTTTTTCCGGCGGTAGTACGTCAGCTCGGGCGTGACACAGCGCCAGGTACAGGCCTGGCATGTGTACTACAGGGACTAGAGTCATAACCAGATGCTCAGTTTAAACGCTGACTTTTCTATGGTATCACTGCCGTGTAAACAGTTGAACTACACACAGGTACAGTTTTCTCATCAAAGTAGAAAAAGAAGTTCAAAAATAGTTTTCAGAACCCTTTGAAAAGAAGACATTTGGAAGTTTTGATTTCTAAATGTCAAGCATTAATGATAAATAAGTTTGTGTACGTACGGCGGATATACACACACTTGGACAAATAATCCAATAAATTAATAACACAAACAAGACAAAAAGGCATTTTTTGAATCGACTTTCACTTACAGTAAGTAACTGTCTTTAATTCCGCATTAATTAACTTAAAACATTGATTATTTAAGTAATTATTGGGTTTTATAATAAACTTCTGTTCTCCTGTTGTGCTTTTTAAAATAAAATAAAAAAATTCGAATTTCTTAAAACCTTCAGTATCTTCTGTATATCCGCTGCGTCATCGTCATTATTATACTATATTTGTCTTATGAAAACCAGATCCTCAAAATAGATTGAAATAATTTCATAGATGTAAATACAACAGCTAATGATATTTACAATGTTTTGTCTCAGTTTTCTGAGTAAAACAAGTTCTAAATGTCTGCTGTTATTACTGGTGACCTTCTCTGACCGCCCACTATCATCAATATTTACACTCCAGAATATTGACATCTGGTTTTTAATGATGTTAGATTCATATATGAAGCTAATAGCTTTCCTTATTATGCGCTCAGTGCAGCAATAGTGTGGGCCACATCGTCTGACTCATGTGACATGTGACCCTGAGAGGTTTGGAGAAGTTTCTGAGTCCAAAACAGTCGCTGAGAAGGGAAGTGAAACTGAAAATGTTTTCGTTTTGACTTTCTGTACACAAAAAGTCTGTGTCCAGCTTCTCATCCAAACATTTAAGGTGACTTTTGTCTTCCATCACATTAACCCCAACATGAAATACAAGCAAATGATGTGGTTGAGGATTGAAAACATAAAAACAAAAACCAGGTGTAAACGGACAGTTTATCGGCTGTGGGAGATGAACAATGTGCTGTTAAAAAGGTCAAATGTTTTTGGGTTTTTTTAAGCAGAGAATGTGAGTTAGCAGTCCCACCCCCATCCCCAGCCCCGTCCACAGCCCCCACCCAGACCCAGGGACCAGCCTCTATGTGCTGATGATCTGCCCAGACCAGGTCTCATGTTTGCTCCCTGGGTTTAGATGAATGATCTTCACCTCTACTGCCTGCACCTTGACATTTTTAGGGGGAACCCGGCAAACTTTGTACGTGACCTCGTCGCCCTCCACAGGCACGTACTCTCCGTCGATGCTGGAGAGAAGAAGAAAAAAAGAATGACTTTAATGGAATATTTTATTTAAATTACTTTTTTTTTAAATCAGTGGTTTTTCTACTTACATCATATAAATTATTATTTGATTTGATTAATTGCTTATTAATATTCTAAAAAGTACATAACCAGTTGGTGGCAGTAATGTAACTCTTTTGAATTCCAGCCACTGTTATAATCAGAAATCGTTAAATAGGAGAAATAAAAAATAATTTATTTGACTCAAAAAAATCCGGAAATGACAAATGACAAATGACAAAAATTAAATAAAGCTCTTACCATTAACTGAATGTATTACTGTTCTGAAGCGTTGTTTTACTGCTGAACTTAATTGGACCAGAGGATTCACTCTGAATTTACAGCTGCTTCTCCTGAGGAATCTGTTTACAGGGTTGAGGTACGAGCTGTGGCCAATCCCAGCAGTCACCCAACATGTAAACTTGTTATTGAAAGGCAGTGGCACTAACCACTAAACCACCGTATAGCCCAGTCTAAATCCACAGTCTTTTTGTCGATTCAGTAAACAATGATCCCTGCATGGTCTACTTTCAAATAATGGAAAGTAGTCCAGACAACTGCTCCTAAAATAGTCCTCTGTGAAGACGTGCAGAACAAATCTGCCCAGTACACATCAAAATATATTCTTAAAAGAACAACAATGGAGTTCTGAAATATGGATTGGTTTGGAGAGATTTCACACACTCCCCCTTCAGCGAGGCCGTAGAAACATCTGTCTGCCCTGATTTAGATGAGCACAGAGGCTTCTCTCTCTCCGTACTCTCTGTTCATGTGCTGCAGGTGTCGCAGTGTCCTCAGAGGGTTTAAAAAATAGATCTTGTGGTGGAAAAAGTACCTGCTGTTCTAAAGCTGTTCTTCCACACTCTCACAGTAAGACCTGTGTGTGTGTGTGTGTGCGTGTGTGTTTTAATTAATAATTCACCGGAAACATGCTTTCGAGTTTCTCAAAGACACAATCTGTGAATGATTATATATGTATATAATTTACTTTTTACTTTTTTTTTAATCTTTCATCACTCACTCTGAGATGTGAACAAAGATGTCTTCACCACCGTGGGATGGTTGTATGAAGCCGTGGCCCTGTGATCTGGAGAAGTTCTTACACACACCCTTGAACACTGGGCCTGAGTGTGCACGTACCGTGCTGCAGGTTAGAAACAGAGGGAGAGAAAAAGAGAGGGAGGGAGAGAGAGAGAGAGAGTTCTCACATTATCCACGAGCTTACTCATCTGTTGTGTTGCTCCATCAGACTGTGAAAACAACTCCTACGCACTGTCTCACGGTGTCACTACACCACAACAGCTGAGACAGAACAATAACGGGGGGGTGTAAAATTGTTGAACTAAACTGAATTACACAAAGAAACTGCACAGATTTGTACCCCAAAGTCTAATGGAGTGAAATGATTGTGGTTTAAATTACCATCACGTTGTCTGATAGAAAACAACATGAGCCCGGAGCCCAACTTTTAATGTCTTTAGTCCGTTGATATTCACACATAATATTGATTGTTATATCTGGAAAATAAATGAGTTTGGATGACATCATTTGTATTTGGTAACAAAGAAACCTCACATCAGTCCATGGTAATAAACATGAAAGCAGTACATAGTAAATATTTTTATGAAAAGTCACGATACTTACGCTGAATATGTCCGTGTGCGTTTGGTTGGCAGTGGACTGGGAAGATCGCGAGGCAAAGGCTTCTCCTTTCCGTCATTCCACAGCCGGCTCCCCTCCCTCACAAAGGGGAAGGAGAGGGTGAGCGGGACACTGGGTGATCGTAGTGGAGTCCCAGAGGGAGATGTGACACCGGGGTCTGCCATCTGAGCTGTGCCACAGGAGAAAGGAGGAACAGTGTGGATGTAGATGCTTTTCCTGAACCTGCAGTCTGTCCACTGGTGTGTGTGTGTGTGTGTGTCCACAGTGAGGAGGTCTGTTCAGAGGAGCCTCCGTGTGTCAGCAGTAATCCAGGTCAACACTGTCACTTCAAGTCAAGTCTGTGGGGAGACGTGACACAAGGAGGAGGATCAGAATGAAGAACAAATGAGAACATTTAACTGAGTTACTACAAATGGTACATGAAGTCATTTAAAATCATTAGTATCAAGAAAAGAAATGGCCATGGTCATGATAATTGAAGTACCTGCCCTCTGCCTGTATTTTTTTACTTTTAGGACATTACTGGATTGAAAATAATCTGGCGAGGAACCAAATATTTTCATCTGATCTTCCCTGTACTGGTGTGTGTGTGTGTGTGTGTTGTTTTGGCGGTGTGTACGTCCACTCCTCCCCCTGTGATGGGACGGAGCCCTGCACGTTGCGTGACGTCAGAGCAGTCATTACCGCTGCAGAACTCCGCCTCCAGTGGTGTGTTCGTGACGTCAAATTCCCAGAGGAATTTCGTCTTACAGCAACACTAGTGCGCCAGTTTAAAATAATAATAAAAAAGATTATAACCGTGACGATTGAATGGCAGAGTATTAATGACAATGTGACGTCACACAGCAGGACAACTGTCCACAACGGCAGAAAATCTGATTATGCAAATAAATAAATAAATATCTAATAAAGCCGCCGGATTTGGAAGGTCAAGGCCCCTGAGGGCCAATCTGGTTCCTGACCTATGGTCATGGTCTATTTGTGTGTGAACACACTGTGCTTAAAAAATAAATACACTTTGACGTCACATCTATATTCTCACATGACCACAATTGATCTGTTTATGTGGCAACTGCTCACATTTCACGAAACGGAGAAACTGTGTGTGTGTGTGTGTGTGTGTGACAGTACGCTGTGGTTGTAAGGTTTGTGCAAAGGCATGAAGTGAATCAGCGCTGTTGGAGGACAGTCCAAGTTGGACACGAGCACAGAAGGACAGAGCAACTACAGTATAGGATCAGCCTGAGCTCCGGAGGACAGACGGACGTGTCCATCTGTCCTCCTGTCCTTCACACCGCAACTTAAAGAAAAAACAAACCCCGTCTCCTCCATTCCTCCTCTGTGTTCTGTCGAGCAGGTGAACGGTCCATACACAAAGCCAGTCAAAATACACATGGAGAAGAAAAAAAAGACACTTACTGCGCCGCTGATGGAGGACGATGACGAGCTGCTGGTCCGAGGCTGATCCCTGTGCGATGACCCTCCTCTGTGACTGAGTGTGTGTGTGTGTTCAAATCAAATCGCCGTGTATTATATAACGAGTAATTTAATAAATAAGTGGAGTAAATCCGCACGGAGCGGCGGAAAACACTGATGTGACGGCGGTGACCGTGAGCAGCTGCGGAGTCTGCGCATCCGGAGGAGACTCCCTGACGTGTGTGTACGCGTGCATGTGAGAGAAAGGGGAGGGGGTACGCTCAATTATTTTTTTATGTACGTCATGAGGGGGGAGAGAAATGTCCTCTTTGGACAAAAGCCTGGCCTCACCATACATTAAAATATATCATCATAATGCCCAATCATAAAGGATAGAATAGAATTGTTCAGAGAAAGACTGCTGTTTTGATCAAGGACCAGCTTATAAATCCCAGAATGTCAAGAATCGATTAAGAATAACTTTTCTGAAAAGAAAAGAAAAGAAAAAAAGAAACAACTAAAACTTGCATTGGAATGTTTCAATAGGTGGCAGAATTGCAACTTGTGGAGTTACAGGTAAGATCTTTGTGAGGTGTAGAGCAGTAATAGAAAGGATATATATACATATATATACTGTATATCAATCTTTGAGGTGAGCAGTAATAGAACGGATATATATATATATAAATATATATAGTGTATATCTCAGAACTCCAATGTGTTCAATTTTCTCCTCAACACAAAGTTTCAGAATTCCAATATGTTCAATTTTCTCCTCAACACAAAGTTAACGTGAAGGATGTTGTTTTACGCCCAAATTTATATCGTATCTGCATGGAAGCCTTAAGACGCTCAAGTCATCCTGTTCTAAAGCTACGGTTCCTGCAGGATATGTTGCTGCTGATATAAAGTCTATACAGTCTGTGTCCGTGGATGAACTAGGTCACACATCAACAGACATCAACATCGCACAGTTGTCACATGAAACAGCCCAGAACGCCTATGATTGTATAGCAAACATACACTGACGTGTGTGTTTGTTGGTAGTATTCACAGACAGTCACTGCCCTTTGACCTGAAGGTGAGCGGCTCCGTTACAAACCTTAGTCAGACACAACATGTTCTCAGGTCAGGAAACAGTTACAGTTTACTGAGCAGGAATTTATAGATGGCAGTTAAACTAACTGGAAACACCTGCATATCTGGGATAAAAAATAAAAATCATCCTTTGTTAACATAAATGTATCTTTGTTATGATTTTCCTGAATCCTTCTGGTGTTTCACAGCCTTGTTTATTATTTATTGTAAACTCTGACATTAGAAAATGTATTAAACCCTAAGTAAGGAAAATATATAATGTTGATCTTGGTGTCACAAAATATCATGACTGCAATGAGAGAGATTCAAATTAAATACACCATAAGGTCGGTTGTACGAGTAAACATAGTGCTGTTGTTTTAGGTCAGTGTTCCTCCAACAGTCAGTCCCAGTGACAGAGTCACTCCTCCAACAACAGCCTCATTGTTCAGACACCAGCCCCACTTTAGCTTTTGGAAACTGGTTCACGAGTCTCCAGCCGACTGTGCTCTGTGTCTCTGATGATCCTCTTTACTAACTGTTCCACCATGACAGCAGACCCAGGCCCGGCTCACAGATGGTCCCCTGAAACAACAAGAACGGGTCAGGATGTACAGAAGGCTTCTTCTGCTTGAATAATTAATTTCGCTGTGATTCAGATATATGTGAGTGGTTGGATGTCCTAGGGTAAGACAGTTGTTTCCTAAATGTTTCTACAGAACCACCCCTTTGTAAAAAGGACGACTGTCACCCTCTCCTACATTGACACATTCACAGCTACTGCTTCAAACTGCAACTTTATACTTAAATAATCAAATTTGTACAATTCTTCTATTCTCATCGAACACAGGAAATAAAAATCAGTGAGGTTTAAGCACTTGGACACAAATAAAAAACAATACGAATGTATTTTCAATAAAAAATGCCACCGTGCAATATATCTTTGCCCACCAGAGGGAGCCCGTTCACCACTTTGGAAATGACTGGTGTAAAACAACTTTGGAACCCACATAAAATCTTAAAAAGACCTCTTGCTACAGATGTTATTTAAGAATGAACTTAAACCTTAAATAGGAGTCATCTGAATTAAAACTGGACATTACATTTTCTTAAGAAGACCTTGACTCTGAACACACAAATGCTTCAAGTGAAAACATTTCTTACAATCAAGGTGTACGGTGCCTCCTTCTTCTCAACACTTTCTTCTGCTGAAGGCTGAGTGGACTGTCCTGGTTGAGCTGCTGCGTCTGTTGATGCCGTGGCTGGACCAGACGGCGACGTATCTATGAAGACTTCGTCTGTGACCCTAAACCGTATCTCCTCCCCTTGGTCCATGTAGAGGTCGTGTGCCCCCTCATCTGTCTCGTACTCCCACAGCCACACCTGCTCTGCTTCATCACTGACACTGTGGTTAAGGAAGGACCGACTGCTCTGGAGCTGCTACAACAACAGTTATCTTCACACCCCTGGGCAAATGATTTAAAATAAGCCATGCAAGAGGCAAAGTATGAAAAATTAGTACTCTCCGATGACAGGATACAACTTTGCAGGCTGCTGAAGTGACTCTGGTGGAATGAGGATGTCATCAAAGAAGCCCATTGTCACTGAAATACAAAGATGCAGTCAGTGATTACAGTAGTATAAACAAACATAACGTTGTTGTTACATGGACAGAAATAACTAAAATAAAAGCATCGATTAACAAACCAATGTGACACATTCATTCTAAACAAACATTCATTATCACTATTTAGCAGATGTAATTACACAGATAATGCAGCAGTGTTTAAAACACAAGTTACCGTGAACTCCCTCCTGACTGCAGTACTTAATCTTGCCCACCAGGATCTCGTCAAGGAAAGGGTGAAAAACAACGTACCTGAAATTAACTGACAGAAAAACATAAGCAGACGATTAATCAAGAAAAATCTTATATTGTGACCAAAAAAAACCAAAACATTTTGTTTTTCTGGCTTTGACCAAATGAACTTCCATTATTTGAAAAGTACCATGAACACTAATGTTCTTTAAACGCCTAAAACAATGTTGTATTCAATGGTGACTGTGGGCTTAAATCCTGTGGATCTCAGTCTCATCATCATCATATCGTCATACCTTTGGTGTGAGCAGCTCCGTCTCCAGGGAATATATAAGAATCGTCTAGTTTGGTGATGTCATACAAGCAGATGCAGAGGCCAACATTGTAAACCACCTGAAGTGGAGAAGATGGGAGAAAGTCTAAGTGTAATCTACACACTAATGCAACACTGCCTCTAGTTCTTGCCAAATGTAAAATGCTGGGTATACATGTAAACATTTTTCAAATTATTGTGAAAAAAGGTATAAAAGTGAAAAGGCAATGAAAATGAAAGGGATTGTAACAGTTGTAAAAACCAGACTAACGGTCTGAACATTTCTAAATCCTTTAAGCTCTTTGAGCCCTAGAAGGTCCATAGCAGTGCAGACAAAGAGCTTCTACCCACAAATAAACACCACGGTCTGTTTATCATCACATACACTTGACCTGTAAAAATAATCTAATACATAAAAACAACAACAGTGGACATTTTTCAGAAACAAACCAGTGATTTATTGATTATTATATGGACATATTAGATTTTTTTTTCATTTATTTTACACACCTTAACATGTTCAACATTCACATATGTTTCTTATTTTGGTTAAGATCTATTTATCTGTGTTGGCATAAGTGTGTTCCAATTTACTTAACACAGTATGATACAGATGAAACAGTGTAACGGGTCGCAAACTACACCAAAACATTAATCACAATACATAGTATAGGGAATAAGAACCTTCAGCTCTGATTCATAAGAGGCGGGCTCCCCCTTGTGGAACCTTAAAACAACTCATTCATGTGAAACACAAACAACTCTAAGGCAATGTTGTGGCGATACTTTTCAAATACACTCAGCGTATGGATGAACTCTTTCTTCACAATTATTCACAATGAACAATAAATGATTGGTACTTTTGTGTGTTTACCGTCCCGCTGTGATAACAGACGCTTTAATCAACTAAGAGCTTCAGAAACGGACTCACCTTATTTGCCAGTTAATCAACTAAGAGCCTCAGAAACGGACTCACCTTATTTGCCAGTTTCTTGTTGAGCTCCTCGGCTATGGCCTCATTAAGTTTCCTATGAAAAGTCCACGGAGGAATCCTGACTGTGTCGACCATCTCCACCAACACAAACATGATGAAAACCGGTGACGGACTGCCGTTAGCAGCTAAGCCGCACACATGCAAACAGGAGGAGCTCCGACAGCGATAAAACCCGTTTTTAACGTTTAAGGCATTTGTCCACTTCTTCTGTATGATTTACACAAGCTCATAATGTCATATATAATGACTCTAACGCCAGAAAATTACAGTAACTATTCGTTAGACAGTTAGCATCCGTGTAAGCTACATGTGAGCGTTACGTTGTCACAGTTTACGACATGTCGTAAAACTTAAAGTGACAGTTCTGTTTTTCCGAGGCCTTCGTTTATACATGTATGGACAACATACAGAACATAAATACATTTTTTTCTTTCCTCGATCAATTAAGAGCATACAAACTTATGTATGTACGTTACATATGATTCTTTAAAAATCATCTGCGTTTAGGCTTGTTTACACTCACAATGCTCCTGACGCAAATCTAGATTTAGTTCAATGAAGTATACCAACAATAGAAAGTATTTAACCTGAACTCCCGACTGTAACCTTTGTATCAATATTGTAATACATCCTAATTCAGTGGTCAAAATATTAAGTATTCTTTAAAAAACATATTCTGTGGGCGACAATAATAAGTTGGTGACAGTTGTTGAAGGTTTATCTTGAATTTAACTGTGTTCTAAAAATCTGACATTACACAATCAAGAATTATTCTAAACAAAAATAAAACAAATCTTTAATGTAAATATATTTTTATTTTATTTATATAATCTTCACTTCATTAGTTACAAAAGCAAGCACTCTAAACAATCTTCAGTACTTTACTAAAACCATTATACTTGGAATAGGGAAATGATTTATAAAGATAACTGTTTTATTACATTTTAATTTCAGGTGTAAACATTTCTGTTTAAAACAAAACAGTCACAGTAAAGATGTTTCGCTTAACAATTGCTTTAGCTGAACCTGTACCAAGAATGATATCACACCTTTAAAAATATATTCAAACCTAGTGCAATATTTAAAAATAAATAGTACTTAGAAGAGGTCAAATACAGTGTGGGATTGTCACTTGTTAGAATATGCAATGTGTGCATTTTTTTTGTTATTTACAAATTCCTATACTTAGTGCAGCTAACACCACCAACCTAGTGATAGTTTAATCATCTTTAAAAAAAGAATCCCTTAACAATAGATTATAGATAGATAGATAGATAGATAGATAGATAGATAGATAGGACTTTATTAATTATACACAGTGACATAAATCACATTTTTAGTGCATCAGACAATGTGACAATCCCATTTTAGTATGTACTATTTATTTTACTGTCTAATGATTGTAAAATTTGTACCCTAATTAGAGCTGTATGGTGAATTTGGAATATTAAAAAAATGAAAAAAGTGCAAAGAACTCATTACTACTTGATTATCTCTACAAAGTGCTAGTGCAAAAGAAAGTGGAAACTAAACAGTTAATTACTCTGTAAAAACTAAACAGTGTTTCAAATGATGCTCAGAACCATATTATAGGTCAAAGTGAGAAAACATTTTTTTTAAGACAAACAGGTTGCAGTTTGGACGGAACACGTTTTCCTTGGTGAAGATAAGAAGGTGAGACGGTAATAAAAGAGTCGAGACAGGAACAGACAGATGATAACCTCAGAAAATGTTTTCATTGCTCTTTTTCTCCCAGTCACATTGACACCGACATGAAGTACAAAAATCATGAAGCCAGACCTGACAACACAGCAGAGCCATGTGTGGTGATTGGACATTCTTGTGGCAAAAACACAACCAAGAAGAGACAAGTTTTCTTGGACGACAGGAGGCAGGCAAACAGGAGGTGCAGGTGACTGAAAAACTACACTAATGTGAACTCTCCAGAGCTCAGGTGACAGCAGGGTGACAGGTTTTCAAGGCTGATTCACTGATGACAGTGACGTAATTATTCTGGACAAAAACACCAGTGACTCAGACACTTGTTCATGGCAATAATCGAGTCACAGGGTAAAGCTCTTCACCATGTGGAAAGTAGGATGTACTTCAGCTAACAGTTCTGACGAAGACAATTATGAAATCCACATTTGAGTTGAAAAATAGGGGGCTGCTTTAAAAGGTAGGTTTTATTATTTAAAAGTTTTTGTCTGTCATTTCACCTGATGACTGAGATTTATAACACTGTCTGTGCATTGATGTGCTTGTATCAGTGTGTGCGCTTTCTATCATACAGCGACATTAGGTGTACAGGTGTGTGTGTGTGAGAGTGCTCATTACCATCTACAGTTGCCTCTGACTATTTGCTTTGTCCATAATTCTCCACTTCCTTACCAAGAAAACGTTTCCACCCTCATCCTCGCCACAAACTACTGCAGCGCCTTCATCCTGTTGAGGGCGGAGCCTGCCTTGAACCACTCAATCTGTGTCTCGTTGAAGGTGTGGTTGAGTGAGATGGACTGCTGGCTGCCATCTGCGTGCTTGATCACAGCTGTCAGTGGCTGAGAAGAGACACCAGAGGCAAAAATATAAATTGTGTCAGTCATTATGTAGATTGGTGGGAGAGGTCTGGTTGTCTTCTCAAACAATATTTCAGTTATTCAGTAGACGTCTCACCTTGCCAGGGGTGAAGGATTTCAGGCCTGCGATTGAAATCTTGTCATTGGGAAGAATTTTCTCATAGTCTTCAGAATTGGCAAAAGTCAGAGGAAGGAGACCTTGTTTCTTTAGGTTTGTTTCTGAGAGGAGAAAAACAAGGTATGAAGGTTTTAAGCTGTATTCATTAAGAAAAAACACAGACTGTTCAAATTCAAAGAGATTGTCCATTTATGTCTTATGTTCAAAGTTTCTCTATGTTCTGGTTTATTAAGGGGTCACCGTGATACCAAATGATCATTCATCTATCTATACGGTTGGAGACAAACTTAACACTTAATAATCAAAATATTTGTCCATCATCTAAATCAGGCCTATAACAAATTTTCACATGAAGTATTTTTGTCCATAAACTCACCATGGATCCTGGCAAAGCTCTTCACAATGATGGCTCGTCCTCCCAGGTGTCGAGGCTCTAATGCAGCATGTTCTCGGCTGGATCCTTCTCCATAGTTCTCATCTCCAATCACCACCCAGTTTATTCCACTGGCCTGGATTATTCATCTTAAGTTTAGAAGACTGACTCATAACAACAATTTAAACACACTATTTTCCATAATATCTTACTTTGTAATGCCGGGCCACATCTGGCACACCGCCGTACTCTCCCGTCAGCTGATTCCTCACTTTGTTGACAGCATCGTTCTCCATGTTGACAGCACCGATCAGCAGATTGTTTGAGATGTTGTCTAAATGACCACGGAACTTCAGCCAGGGGCCAGCAGCACTAATGTGGTCAGTGGTGCACTTTCCCTTCACCTACAGCAGCGGAGAAACAGAGAGAGGGAAGATCAGGATGAGAAGACATGACAGGAAGACAGAGGAAGACAAAATCAGAGACGGCTGCATGACTCATTTTCTCATTTCAAATATTTACATAACCTATTAAAAAGAACGTCAACTCTAGTGGATCCTCCAGTTTCTAGAAAATAAACATAATTAGCAAATCAGGTCGTCAGTGCTGTGACATTTGCTGCTCACTTTGATAAGGATCAGCATGTCTTCCAGATCTTTTCCATTCCACTTGTCAAAGGGTTCCAAGAGCTGCAGACGGTTGCTCGCAGGGTTCACATCCACCTGTTTGGTAAACGTGAGACAAATGTGAGAAACTCCTTTTTTCAAAAAATGTCTTTTTTTTATTGATGCATCTGTGTTCTCCTTCACTTCCTGTATCTGATTTCTTAAACATATTAAGTCACTATTCCTTTACTATATAAAGATTGACCTTGACAGAGCTGCTCTCTGCTGGAGGATGCTGGTAGGTGTCCTGGCCTGGGTCGAAGTCTCTGGAAGGAAGTTCATCGCCAGTGGGAGGGTCCAGTTTGAACTTCTCACCATTAGGAGCAGTCAGGTAGTCAGTCTCAGGGTTGAAGTTCAGCGTCCCAGCCAGGGCCAAGGCAGTGACAATCTACGTGTTTGGAAATATGAAGGAAACAGTTTTATCTGCAAAGCATCTCAGGATCTACTTTGTTCCACTGACTGGGAGTTATCAGAATTATTCATACTGAAGACCTTTTTTCATCTTGTTTACTAAGCCAACCCTCTTACCTCAGGCGAGGTGACAAATGCATGAGTAGCAGGGTTGGCGTCATTCCTAGCAGTGAAGTTTCTATTAAAGGAGGTGACGATCGTGTTCTTCTCTCCCTTTTTCACATCCTTTCTGGAAAATACAGAATAGAATAGAATATGAACAGAACAGAATAGTCTTGATTGTCATTATACTGGGGAGTACAATGAAATTCAGGGCCAATGAAAAACAGAATACCTGTCCCACTGTCCAATACATGGTCCACAAGCATTGGCCAGAACAACTCCACCGACATCACTCAGGATTTTGGCCTGAAGATGAAACAATATGAATCAGATTCATTCATTTATTCTTAATGATCACCAACTCCGTTACATTGGTTAGAAACAGCGTCCCGACTCACATAGCCATCTCTTTCAATCGTGGCTCGAATCTGCTCTGATCCCGGGGTCACTGTGAACTGAGCCTTGCACTTTAGACCTTTGTCCAGAGCCTGTTTGGCCAGGGAGGCTGCTCTGCCCATGTCTTCGTAGCTGGAGTTTGTGCAGCTGCCAATCAGACCTAAACAGAAAATCTGTCTATTACAAATTCATATACAGTTACAGCGGCTGCACTGAGGTTTAATGTCTAATCCCATCGATGCAGGTCACAAGTAAGAGAATGAAACAAGAAGCGGAAGACAAAAAAAAAACAAGTCTGTAATTACAGACATATTTTTGCTTCATTGTTTTTGTCAGACTTAATTTATGTTCAGTACAAAAGACCATCAGCCACATGACAATGCTGTAATGTGATCCAATCATATTGTACCTAGTCAATGAGATAATTATTACTCGGACAAAACAAGAAATATCACATTTCCGTGGACTAAGCATTTAAAAATGTTAAGAGGTAAGATAATACAGCTGCAGCACACGCACTGACCAACTTTAACCTCCAGGGGCCAGCCGTTCTTCTGGGCCACAGAGCCGAGTTCAGACACAGGGTGGGCCAGGTCCGGGGTGAAAGGGCCGTTGATGTGGGGCTTCAGCTGTGACAGAAGAGAGGACAATTATAAGTCTTGGTGTGTGACAAATATGGATTTCTAATCATTAAAAAGAAATCACAGAGATACTTTACATCTGTACCTTTAATATTTTACATTGTCATTTTTGCTTTCACAGTCATTGGAAAGTTTGAAATAGACAACACATTTAAATTATTTTAACTCTTCATTATATGAGCCAACATCTCCATTGACTTTCTGATGCCGTACCCACTGCACCAGTGCACTGTAGTTAATATGTAGTACACACTAACATCAGCACTGCAGTGCTGATCATGCTGAGAAAAAAATAATCAGGAAAACCAAACGTCTTGACCTCACCTCACTCAGGTTAATCTCAATGACCTGGTCATAGTCACAGTCCTGGTCTGGGACCAGGTCATCTTTGAACTGATCAGCCGCAGAAGCAATATCTAAAAAGGAAGACAAAAAAGAGAAGAAGAGAAGAGAGTAAGAGGTAAGTGACAATAAAGACAAAGACGAGAAGAGAGTAAGAGGTAAGTGACAATGATCTGAACAGTTCTACACTGTGTCATGCACCCTGTTCAAACTCCAAGGGAAATGGAATCTTTTTGTGTATCCATAATTTATTACTGGAATCAAATGTCTAGACGGTCGAGGTTTTTAAATTGTAGCTAAAATAAATTCGATTTCAGATTTTCACGCTGTTTGATGTGCATTTCATGGTCATGATCATGTTTCAACAGAATACATTCAACCATCAAACCTTCAAATCCACAGCAGCTCTTGCAGTTTTTAAGATAAAGCCAGAAACTGCTGAGTCACCATTAAAGAAACCAATTCATACATGTTGAAGTGTTTGTTACCAAAATTTAAATGGATTTCAAATTTTGAAGAGGGAACACAATCAACTCAAACTTAAAGACAAAGGGTTTGTCTATGGACTGAACATCACCTAGGTGACTGACCTCCGCGGCCTGTCTTCTCCAAGTAGGTCTTCATACGGTGGTTGTACGGGAAAACTGATGTGGTGGCTCCAATCTCAGCACCCATGTTACAGATGGTGGCCATTCCTGTAAATCAGAGTGCCATCTTAACATGTACCACGGTACAACTGAAGGCAATACATGATTTATGAATTTAATAAGACACTGAATAATTGTTCTTCAGTTTGTTTTGTATATATTTTAACACAAAGATTGAATCTTATTATGTAGATCTCGTCCTTACCAGTGCAGGAGATGGAGTCGACTCCAGGACCGTGATACTCCACAATGGCTCCAGTGCCACCTTTCACAGTCAGAATGCCAGCAACCTTCAGAATGACATCCTTTGGAGATGTCCACCCAGAGAGGCTGCCTGTCAGTTTCACTCCAATCACCTGGTGAAAGAAAGCACACAGACATTAAATACAGAAAAAACAGTTGCAGGGATATAAAATGAAAGGTATGGGCATGCAATTTTGATTTTTTTTTATTTATAAAAACTAAGCCAAAAATTTACATTAGGACATTTGAGCTCCCAAGGGATTCCAGCCATGACGTCCACAGCATCAGCTCCACCAACTCCTATACAGATGCCACCCAGACCACCACCGTTAGGAGTGTGGGAGTCAGTGCCGATCAGCATCACTCCAGGATAGGCGTAGTTCTCCAGAATAATCTGGAAGGAAATGTCACACTTGACTTGAAATGTGCAGCATTTTGTGAATGTTGTCAGCTGTTGTGCAAGCGCTTTATAAAATAACTAGTGCAAGTTTCCCTGGACATTTTTTTGTAAACTACAGCACTCTGAGCCAGTGTGGAGTAGGAAAGCCGTAAGTCAGTGCACTCTACCTGATGGATGATCCCCGAGCCTGGTTTCCAGAAGCCGACTCCATATTTGGCTGCAGCTGTTGCGAGAAAATTATAAACCTCATGGTTCACCTCCTGAGTTAAAAGTAATTAGGGAAGTGTCACAGACTTGGTCACAGTAATACGTCATGTAATTGTATGAAAAAATAAACTCTGGTCGGAAGTTTTTCCTAAATCCATTTGTTCAATCTGACATTAACCAGGTGGTAAGCAAGACAGTTTAATATTTCAACTGGGAATCAATTAATTACTCTTGTGCAGCAAAATATTATAATACACAATAGTAAACTTTTTTCAACAAATGGTTGAATTGGCTGTGCCACTGTCACTGCGCCACATACAGCTAGTCATCATGAATGAAGGCTGCTGAAAATTTAAAAAATTATAATTTTTCAATATATATACACGGGCTGCCTACCAGGACATTTCAGGTCGAGTCTGATCAGACAGACTGAAAAGACAGTGACTCTGTCTGAATGTTTATATATATACACACATTACGTAACGGTCCTTACCACAGCCCTCTGCAGGTCCTCTCAACACACATTACGTAACAGTCCTTACCACAGCCCTCTGCAGGTCCTCAGCTCCTCCTATCTGTGCCTCGATCAGGTGATCACAGTGGATGGTGGAGGGAACGGCCACCTTCGGCAGACCGCTGCTGATAAACTGAAGCATCGCCATTTGGGCGGTGGCGTCCTGCATAGCCACTCGATCTGGTCGCAGGCGGAGATAGGTGCGGCCTCGGTCAATGTCCTGACCTGCAGGATCATCCAGGTGACCGTACACTATCTTCTCTGACAGAGTAAGAGGCCTGTTGAGTCTGTCAGAGGGGTGTGATGATTTAATCAATATCAGTTTGGTTTTAACAGAGTGAATGTGTCTTTTTTATTAGAGATAGATAGTAAAGCCACAGACTGAAAAAATGCACAAATCAAAATAGAATAGAAAGAACAATATTATAGAGTGTATATAATTCTACTTCTTCTACTCTTCTCCAAGTATGAGTGACAGTTGGATTATCTACAGCTGGTGACCTTGAAACTAAATGTACAGTGGCAGTAGCCGTGTTGATCAGTTTGCTTCTAAATTAAATCCTAACTGACAAAAAATAATTTTCTTTCTGTTTGTTCTGGACTGTGAAAATGTGTATGTTTGATATATCAAAGGTGCTGACCTTTTGCGTACAATACTGATGTTCTCATGCATCTTCTCGTAATTTAGACTGGAGCCCGGTTCAAAGTGGCTCATGGCCACTTTGGCCTTGGCACCGAAGGCTGCCGACACATGGAATCCTCTTGAGCCACTTCCAAGGGCGAACTAGACCAGGGACATAAAAATGACATTTTTATTATAGAGCTGATGACCAGCACACATAGTGCTGACAAGATCATTTATAACCAGGATACAAAGAAGCTGTGGCTTTACATAACCAAGCCATTCTATGGATTAGTCAGACTAGTAACACTGATGATGGAGAAAAGGTCACTTTTAAAATTTATGTTGCACTATGAACTTACGGATAAGGATCTCATATGTGGCTACACGTACTGTTGGGCTATTATATACAAGCAGAACACATTTATGTGTGTGTGTGATTTGCTCAGGGTGTGATGACATTAGAGGTTTTAAATTTTGTTTGTGTTTTTCTGGAGCTTTGTTTCAAAGACAGAGGTATTTTAGAGTGATTTGAAAGGTTGTGGTTAATCATTACAATTACAATCACTTTCACTTCACTTTATGTGAGATAAGTCATCCCTTCTGATCTTACTGAAACTCTTAGTTGATTTGATCTACTTTAGTCACCAGTCCATTATAATAAATTGAATATAATAATCATTATATTGAAACATGTGTTCCTAAAAGCCTTTAACTCAATATCAGGAGATGTTGACAACTGTTTGAAACATGAAATTAGTAGATTAAACCTCTGAATAAGAAAGTGGCAAACTGAAGAAGGAAGAGAAATTCTTAGACTTGTACTCCAGTCGGTGCTGACAGTCCGTGAGAAGGACAAGTGGGTGAAAGTTTATGTAAGTCTCATATTGCAAAAACAAGCCTTGGTCTCTGGACTGACCGTCGACAGCCCGTCTCCTAGACTGTGAATAATGCATGAGCACTGGGGGAACACACGTGCTGTCTGAAAAATTAGGATCAAAACCATTACATCACCTGAACACAAGTACTGCCATTCTTTTAGTCACAGATTTCATGAAGCATGTACAAGTGTTTAATCATTGTCATTGTTTCAACGGGATTTGGCTTAATTTAGGTTTTAACATCCCATTTAACTCATAAACAAAGGCATTAACTCGGCATAGATTAATTGCACCCCCAGCAGGGAAGAAGGGGACCTGCAAGGCGTGTTTATAATAAATAATGATTTTTATAATTTAACTTTACAGTTGTGAAGAAGGTTACAGTTGTGTAACTAATAACTTAAAATTGAGTGTGGAAAAGTTGAGCGATCACAAAGTACATGGTATACGCATAAAACTGTTGAAAATAACAGAGAATAATCATAATGACGGGACAATCTCAGCTGTCAAGTGTGAGCTTTCATAAAGAAAACGTAAAATGTATAAACATATAGCAAAAAATAAATATAATATATATGTTCCAAATTTAGGACTGTTTACTTCCTGGCTGAAATATTTTATTTTCATTTTCTTTCCGATGTAACGGTTAAATATTGACGATTTAAAGTAAACACTACATCTTTGTCAAAATACACAGCGGTCTAGTGCGCACTCTGCTACACATTGACCCGCAGACGGTGGGACGTATGCGACTCGGCAAAAACATATGTGTTGACAAGTTTTCCATTCGCACCAAAAAAAAGCCATTTAAACCGGATATAGCCGTATCTTACCCGCAACCTAGAGACAATCAAACAGTAGGACGCCATTTTGATCACAGATAACTACGCCTGTCGCCTTAAAAATACGTCAGTGGTATTGAAGCGCCTGTTAATTTAGTTTTTACTACCTTTGTTCCTTTCATAGTCTGGTGTTTCTCTCCCCTTTTCATGTTTTTTTATTTCAGAACCTATTTTTTAGTTTTGTTTTGAGAAATACATTTTAAAGTAATATTTCTAACATTATATCAATACAAGTATACCTAGAAAATCAGTTCAAACCAAACAGGTTCAGCACAATAAAACGTCTATTATTTCCTACATATTTTCTGTATTTTCTCTTAATTCTGTGCATAAATTTAAATCTTTAACTTGCGTTTTTTTATACAGGGGTATCTGGAACTTGTGACTGATGCCACAGGATAGTCAGGAAAAATGTCAGCTATCAAAAATTAGGGGAATTACGAACTGCAATAAAGGTCGCTCGTCAAAATTTTATATATGTGCATCCTCAGACCAGTGACATATACATATACACTATTTTGGCCATGGTTTGTGTGTGTGCCCGGACGAGGAGGGTGGATGGGAACATCATTTCCCACAATACAAATCTAAACGTCCTTGTAGTGGAGTAGGTTGGACGGACGCTGCAGCCCTGTGTTGCGTGGTTCCTCCCACCTCTCAACCAATAGGGACTCTGTTGCTAGCACTGCCTATATTTTTAGCAAATTATTCGGCACCGTTAGAAACTACAAATATCCCACCGCCAAACAAACTAGAGCCTCGTAGGCAGGCTCAACCTGGAATCCATGGTTACAATGTGACGAAAGTAGTTCCTGCCGTCACGGGCGTGTGGGCGAGTCACCGTGTGTGTATAAATACGCCGGGTTGTCAAACACCAAAGTTTCTGTGGCTTAACAGAGCAAACTGTCACCGAGAGGTAAACTGGAAAACCATCCTACCACCAAGAGCCGGAGCCATAATCTAATACTGAAATTAACAACACACACCTGAGGGTCAGTATCTGAACCGATAACCCTTGTGAATTTCACGACTACGCAAGGATTTTATTGTACAAAAAAACGCAGCAGTGGAACGAAGCCAGAGCACCATTTAGAAAAGGTAAGATTTAAAGTGATGACAACGTCGTTTAGCCCATATCAGGTGATGCGTGCTGCCTTTTTTGTGTGTTGGTTTTCATCTTTTCAAACGCTTGTGTTTATTCACGGAAATGCAGCGACTGTACTTGTTTATGCCGATGGAGAAAAGGAGGAGGACTCTCTTCATCAGTGCTCTCACATAAACCGTCGATGGACTGCTCGTCGCCTAATTACCTCAGTAATTTAATTTAAGGCGACAATGTGTGAGGAGGAGATTCTCCTCCTCCTCCTCCATGTCCTTTCTGCTTCACTGGCCTTTAACTGATGAATGACACTGACTCCCAGGTCGACCCTGGTGTTTCTGCTAATCTGAGACCGTAATCAAACTTGCAGTCCTGGCTGGTAATTTTCCGTCTTCTCTCATTCTGTGTTTGTCAATCATTTGCCTTAACAGATGTTACGTATTTAATCGATCAAGAAACAATTAGACATTTGAGGACTCTATCAAAATTTCCACAAATGCTCCAGTATCAGTGCTGGTGCTGCTGTGACAGTTGATCCTGACCCGTGGATGCTTTACAGCACAGTCACATTCTCAGCTCCCACATAATGAGTCCATGTAAACAAAGGCAGCCCTGTAGATCCTGCTGCTGCTGTGCTGTCCATACAAATACACAAGCAGCTCACCATGCTGTGAAACGTATGTGCACAGCAAGGGAAGCCGATGTAAACACGTACAATAGAAATACAAAAAGAAATTGCAAATCTAGATTTTTTTGAAACACCAGCAACACATTTGAGTCAGCCAACCTGCGTATTTTTTCCTCTCATGTCAATGAATGACATTGGAGCCTCTGTTTTAGCAGCAGCCTCTTTAGTAAAAGGAAGAAGAATGCAGTAGAAGCTGTTGGTAGCTTAGCTTTGTGTGCCCCCACAGATGGTGTTGATGATGTGTCCCCGACTTGTCTTTGCAGTCGAATCTTTTTTATACTAAACATCCATTTCCAGCCCAGGTGCTAGGGAGGAATTTACACAACAGACGATGCAAAATAGGCTCCTATTTATAGCCCATAACCAACCCCCATCTCAACCTTCAATGTCACCTTTTTCACGCTAAAGGGGCAAATGTAAACCTCATCTGGGGCTGTCACTCCCACAGGCCTGCATGCAGCTGAGGCAGCTTTATGTAATAACATTAAAAATGTCTCTAATCACAGGCGTCTTTTTAATCCTAGCTGCTGATTCTCCATCTGCCAGGGAACTGAACTGGAGTGAATTGTTTGTGTGTGTGTAGTGTGTGTGTTATGGGGAGTGTGCTTTGCGCACTGCATGGTGGGACATGGTGTTCTGTGAAGTGGTTTAACTGTTCTGCCATTTTATACTTCTTCCGTAGGGATTTTTTTTTTGTGCTTTTTTACCCTTTAAACGTCTCGTTATTTTTATCTTCATCATGCGTGGTGATAAAATCCTGTGTGCTAGGCTTTACAATTCTGAAACGACAGCCACACACACACACACACATCATCCGTTACATCACTCGATCTTTCCTGCTGTTGTTTAGACCAACCATCCACTCACTTCAGCTTTTTGATTTCCTTGTTTTAAAGCCTATAAAATCACATCAGTTTGGTTATTTATTGAATCTTTAGTCCCTTCTATACAACAGTTGTGGGTTATCACCTCCTAACTGACAGAGAACGTTGAAAGGTTCCTAAAATCTCTGCAAAGCTATTCACACATTTACACACAGCTCCTGTTATGTTCAATGAGATGCATAGTAGTGTAGCATATATACTGTATATACGTGTGTTTATATTATCATCATAACATTATGGCCGCATAGGCATTGCTGGTACAGATTATTTTTACCTTCAGTTTCATAATATTTTTAATGCATTTGTGACATCCTAGTTTGAACAAAGGTTTGTTTTCCTGATTGTTCAAGGTGAAATGACTGCTTTCTTATTGTTTCTTCTTCACAGCTGTAACAAAAAAAAAAAACCTCTGCCAAGTCGTCTTGCTCAGAAGGAGCCTCTACCATGGTGACACTAAAAGAATCGTACACTCTTCAATAATCCAGAGGAGAACGCTTACCGTTGCATTGACTCACTTTCACCACTACCATTTCAACATCGGACGGCACTGACCTGGAGCAGACATGCATCTAGAAGTGAAGGTTGCCCTCAACTTCATTGTGTCGTACCTGTACAACAAGCTGCCGCGGCGTCGAGCAGACCTTTTTGGCGAGGAGCTAGAGAGAATACTGGTGTCCCGTTTTGAGGGTCACTGGTACCCTGAAGCTCCACTGCGTGGTTCTGCTTTCCGCTGCATTCATTTGGGAGCACCCAGGGACCCTGTGGTAGAGTTGGCAGCCAAGAGGAGTGGACTGGACACGGAGGAAGTGCGTGCAAATGTCCCCGCAGAGCTCAGTGTGTGGATTGACCCTTACGAGGTGTCTTACCAGATTGGCGAGAAGGGGGCAGTGAAGGTGCTCTACCTCGAGGACCCTCCAGGCCTTGGCTGTGACGGCGACAGAGCTGAAGGAGTGATCAGAGAGGGCAAAGGAGATGCAGAGGCAGAGGAGGCCAAAAATGTGGGCTTCAACCCAGATGCTCAGGTGTTTGTGCCAATTGGAAATCAAGCTTCTCCAGTTCTAATGCCGTCACACTCCAGTTCTCCTACACCTCTTTCTGCCCAGTCCTGCCCTGGGCTCTTCAGCTACCCAAGCTCCAGCACTCCCACCGACCCTGCTGCCCACCCCTCCAACGCCCCCACGCCTTCCCCTCCCAACGGTGGGCTGCCTTACCTCGCCACTCAGCAGCCCCCTACTGCGCTTCCTACCGCTCGCCCTCAACCCATCACCTTTACCACCGCCACCTTTGCCGCCACTAAGTTTGGTTCAACCAAGATGAAAAAGTGCAGCAGCGCAGGATCACCAGCCACCTCTGGAGTCATCATACCACCCACCCAGAGGATGATCTCCCGCTCCCCTACCACCATCCCGACCCCAGAGCTGCTCAAGCACAAGCCCCTGTCTCTGTCCTTGCACTCCCTCGGTGGTCCGATCCCCAGCCAACTCTCTCCCAACGCCAAAGAATTTGTCTACCCAGGATCCCCAGGCCCTCTTTACTTTGAAGCTGACACCCAGCCCATGCAACCTCTTGCCAGCCCTTTCCAGCCCCCCCACTCTATCAACACCCATGCAGCCTTTGACCCCTTCTCCAGCCCTCCACCCTCCCAGAGTGTGGGCATCATCAGCAGCAATGGCGGGATCTCCTACATGGAGAAGCCGCCGTTTGTGGAGGGTTTAGGAAGTTACAACCTGCAATATCCCAGCCAGTCCTTCCAGCCCGTTGTGCTGGCCAACTAAGCCTTCATTTCTAATGAGAAGAGTTGTTGTAGGAGTAGGGTGTGAGCACAGTGATGCTCCCGATGTTTTCAGTTTTTCTATGAAATTGTTCTAATACTAACAAAATGTAAGAATTTGTTTTACTACAGAGATAAAAAATGACAAACATATTCACTAAATATGACATGTGTTTTGTTTTGGTTCTTCACGTTCACTGACCGCACCCTGCCCCTTTGTCCTTTGCCGTTCCTCGTCACGTTCTGTGTGTTGGCTTTGATACAGTGGGTGCGGTTGAGTTCCTTTCTACCCTGACTTATTGCCAATCTCTTATGTTTATTGTTTTGCATTGAATGTTAATATGAGAGACTTTTTTTTTTTTTTTGTTTTTTGTTTTTTTTGTTTCTCGTCTGGGAATTTAATGGACCCTGCTTTAGCTTAGCGCAATTTTTGCACTGCACTGTCATGCTGTGGAAAAGAACCTCGCCAAGTCCTGCAGGGAACGACGGCTGTGGAAAGCTCAGCACTTTGCTCTGCAATCTGCTCTGCCCTAGTTGCCACGAATACAGCGAGAGGAGAGCTCTGCTGTCTCTGCGTGTGCACTTCTGTTTTGTTGTGGCTCAGCGTGATCAGGAGAGCCACTCATTATACCGTGGGCCCATTACCCTTGAAACGATTGCGTGCACAGGTGCAATTTGAGACGTCGGCCAGAGTGTATCGGGAGCAGTTGATCGCTTGCAGTAGCATATGCATGTACATGACAAGGGTTTAGATGAAGTTGGAGCGGAGGAGGAGGAGGCAGCATCGGGGAGGATGGTGGGAGAATGCAATGTACCTGTCACAGGGAATACTGATGAATGTGAAAGATAAATAGAATTCTGTTTTTGTATTTCTAAGGCACAGGCTCTGCGCTGATACCTCATTTCTATACACAGTGACGGTCACACGTGAGAATCTATAGGGACACGTGTGCAGAAGCCATTAGAATGTTCTCATACACACGGCTCCAGTCAGCAGTGGGTGAAGGTGAACAGGCGTAGAAGGTGACGAGGGGGAGGGGAAACGGCAGCAGCTAAAGCAGTGGAGGGATTGTGATAAATGGCTTAGCATGACTTTGACTGTGAAGGAGAGGTTTTCCTCTGCATGAGAGGAGAGGGGAAGACTGAAGGAAATGAGAGAGAGAGAGAGAGAGAAAAGCAGCTCTTCTTTTGTGTTTCATCCGTAATGTCCAGAGTCTATTGGCTCAGAGAGCGACACTTAGAACTCAGAGCACGTTTATGGTGAGCTTAAATGTTATTGAAGCCAAAGGCTCACATTATTTTCTCGCTGCTCTTGAAATTCTTCAGTGATCTCTGGCTGCTCGTCAGGCTGCTACAGAGGCAGAACCACAACATACGACGGACGTTGTTCCGTTTTTTTTTTTCTTCTTCCATTTCTGTTGTTCGGCTGCAGCGTCAACACAGAGATGAATGTTCTTTATTGACGTGTGGCTTCTGTCGCTCTGTCGGGTAACACGTCAGATCACTGAAGGCCCGTTGTCTTGTGTCCAGTCGTGTCGGTGTCACTGTGGGCTGGTCTTTTTATGGAAAGGTTAAATGTCTGTTGTAGCTGTCCAGCACTTTATCACTGGGCCTCCCTGAGCTTGGTTAGAGTTTTAGTCGTCATTAAAACGCTTTAGAGATTCACACACAAGCTAAGCCGTCGGTCGTGTGATTTAACCTGAATGTTTTCTAGACTCTTATCCATTGATGTTTTTGTACAACCCCCCAGCTCTGTACCCCCCCCCCCAGACCCCCAGACTCCCAGCTCCCTCCACCTGTGCTCACAGCGGTCGTTGCCGTGTCACAGCGTGTCATGCATGCATTTTTTGTTATTGTTCTCAAAGGGGAAAAACACTGGGAGGTACTAGTCTACAAAAATGTACAGTAACTGTAAGGGGAAAGTGCATTTGTAATATTTTTGTGTAATTTATTTCCAGAATTTCTATATTTTTTTGTTTTTGCAAAAAATGATCACTTGCATTTGTATTGTATAGAGAAGACGCGACTGCAGTCCCGGAATATGTACATGAAGATTCTTATGTTGAGATTCTTTGTTTAGTTTCATACATGCTGAGGTTATTTTTTCAGAAAAATAACATGAATATATATGCAAACAGAGACAAAAATAAAGATGTACAGAATAAAGTATTGAATGTTCATTGTATCTTGTTAGTATTTGTCTAAGAAGACGGGTAACAGTATCATTTTCTTTCTTTGTTTTTTTCTTCTTTTTTTTTTTTAAATGTAAGTTGGATTTAGAAGTTGAGGCCAGAATGTTTACAGCGGGATTGTGTAGGAAAAGCTGGCTGTCACCTTTTCCATGCTCCAGGGGGCAGTATCCCTATAGACAGTATATTCAAAACCAAAAATATTTACTTTTTTACATTAATTTAAGTGCAAAAATGTTTGTGAATTGATGTCTTTTCATAGAACCCCAATTTCCCTGGTTTTATTTCCATAGGTCTCTAACAGTTTGGTTTTTATTTATAATATATTCCAGGCTAATTTGTTTCCCTCTTCTCTCTCTACTCGGTCCGTCGGTCCTGATATTATAGCCATATCTTTACTTACACAGGCTCCTCCTTCTAGTGCAATGTAAAGCTCTAAGACCCTGAAAGATATAAGGGGTTTCTACCTCTCTGCACCCTGGAAAAATGCAAACACGTACATTTATCTTCAGTAGGAAGATGGTGGTTATAGTGTGTCAGGAAAATGGAAATGAATGTGATTCTGATCTGATGTGAGGCAACCCTGCTTTAGAAGGCCTGCAACAGAACGGAGAAAAAATCAAAAACAAAGAACGATTACAGTCATATCTTAAAACACTGGAGGCTGCTCTGTGTGTAAGACGATAAATCCAACTGTAATATGAGGAATATTAAAGAATATTAAAACGGACAAGGAATCTTCTGTAAATCAGGTTCGTCTATGGTCGGGGTTGCTCATCAACGAAGTGGGAAAAAATACGATTTTCTTTTTTTGTATTCCGACGTCCTTGGCTTATTATACTGACGTGTGTGTTTTGTTTTCTGCACTTTGGAGATTTTCATTGTCAGAAGAGAAGTTTATTTTCTATGTTAGATTTAACTTGAGAAAACATAGCTATAATTAAAAGTTCCGATGATGTATTAATATATTGCTTTCTTTCCTGCCTGTATTTTGTTATTATTTCTTTTCCTATTTTGTACAAGATCAGTACACGCTGTAGATGTAAAATGACTCTTTCACTACTGAAATGCAATGACCTGTTTTCTGTGCTGCCCCTCAGGAATGGGGAGTTACTCTTGCAGTTTCTTATTGTATCAGATTCTTTTTTTAAGTTTGTAATAAAAACCACATCAGAAAAAATAAGCATGGAAAATAAGCTAATTGTGTCGTCCTCATTCTTTTTTTTCTGGGTTAAACGTGATGAGAATAAAGCGGGAAAGTGCAGATGTGGACAGGCGGTGATGTCATGACAAAGTTATTGTGATTTTTACACATTCTTATCGACTAGAATCAGGGAAGTGAAGATATTTTGGGGTGATTTTCTTTTTTTTTCGTTTTAGTGAGTCTTTGGGTGGAGACTTGGCCGCAGGACATCTTTAATATTGACTGGGTTGTTCACACAAAACAGTAACTAGTGACTGGGGATAAAGCACTATTATTTGTCCCTGCTATGGCTCAGATTTTCTTTTTCCTTTGTTTCTTCCCATCTGCAAAATAAATGTAAGCTGTTGGTGACTTGCGTTGATTCCAGTGCCTTTTGAAGCAATGTAAGCTGTTGGTGATTTGCGTTGATTCCAGTGCCTTTTGAAGCACTGTCCAAATATTCGGAATGATCTTCCCTTAAGAGGGTATTTATTTTGTCTTCAGCTGGAAAACCGCCTCCGACGTCGACGCCTGAGCTCCTGCAGAAAGCCTCAGCCTGAGATGCCAGAGCTGGGCGTTCTCTGCTCTCCTCGCTGTAAATAAATTCATGTGATGTTTGATCAATAATTCAAGGGAAAGACAGCATTCTGAGATGTTGAACTGAAGGGCCAGATTTTCTCATCACCTACCAACCCCTACAGCTGGAGCAGTCCTAGCAGATGTTTCTGTAGATTTCATCATCCCCCACTCACCCTGGATGTAAGCCGCTCTGTGCGGTTCGCTCTCGCATGTTATGTGCACGATCCAGGCTGAGCTGAGCTTATTTTTAGCAACATACATACACGCATCTGTACAATGGTAGGAGATTAACATGTGCGGACGAGCTCCTCCTCACCCACTCACGGCATCTACTCGTTCCCCCCCGCCCATCCACCCACTCACATGTCGTCTGCTGCATCCCTCTTCTCTCCATCTCCGTGTTCGTCCTACTCCCCGTCACACACCGCCCCTCCACCAGTACATCCTTGTCCTTCTCTCTCCTCTCTTTTCCCAGCATTTTTCTCCTCTCCTCATCCTCCCTCCTCCTGATTCCCATAGTGCCTCCCTCCCTTTCTTCCCTGTTTTCCAATCTCTTATCTTCCCTCCACACACACACACACATCCTGCTGCTCTTTGAGGCTGCTGCTGTTACGCAATACAGTTCCCCTGTGTGTTGATGTGATCATTACGCAACATCTCCTACTCCTCTGAAATACTGATGAGCAGCAGGAAAGAGACAACAAAAGGACAACAGAGCAGAGGGAACAAAACAAAATCACATGAAGTGGAGGCGAGCGTTGGCACTCAGGGGTGACTGTGGACTTCACAGTCAGGGCCAACGGTTCTGTTTGTTTAACAACTTACCTGATGGCCCTTTGTCTCTGAAAGTTGTGATTGAAAGGCTGCTGGTTTGAATCCCAACACCAAAACTCCCCAACATCCAGGGCACAGTGAGGTGCAGCTTATTGCTCCTGTTTAAAGAAGGGTTTCAATTTTTAAAAAATATTCAATTTGCATCTGTATTTCTAAACCAGCAAATATATCTTATATTAATTATTATGAAATTATATAATAATAATAATAATAAAGGATAAAGAGATTTCAAGTATACGTTGCACCACCCGCAGGCCAGGAGCAGGAACTGCATGCCTAATAATGACATACTTGTAAACAGAACACCAAATTAGCAACAGAACATTGCATACTCAACCTTTAATGTCTGAGCTCACATTTAAATAAATTCCAGTTTATTTCATATACGTGATACAAGACACAAGTAGGACATGGCACATCAGTTACATTTGAGCTGTACAAGGTTATGCCAATACAAAAACAACCAACAAAAACATGTTTATATAAAAAGAGAAAGTAAATAAAGCACATATTAAATGCTTTCAGTAAAGACATTTAATATTCTGACAGAATTGAAGCTACTTTTAGGAGGATGAAGTGGTGTCGAACCAAAGCACCTGAAGCCAATACCAAAAGGATTGGACCAAAATATTGGACGCTTTCCCAACGGACTAACTGCCATCCGATGCCTCAAAAATGCGCCATCTAAGGGCAGATTTCGGAATTAGCGCTTTTTATGCAGTGAGCGTCGAACACCCTAAGAATTTTAGGACAGAATATTTGAAATATTTTTACTGTTCTCCAAACACAGTGTGCTTTGCTTTGGTTAGATCACCCTTACAAGGCAATCAAAGCATTTCCTGTGTGTCTAATATTCTCATAAACTAGTTTATATGAAGGAAAGACAACGTCTACCTAATTTCAAAGCAGTTGCTGTTCCTCGACTTAGGATTTTCTGACTTCACAATCCTTCAACAGGCATCACTATCAACCAATACAAGCCAGATTCACGAGATGCTTGCATCAGTAAAGGAGAATGCTACATACTGTATAATGTACCATAAAGATCACAGGCCCCTGTTGGCCAGTACCATTGGTCATGTAGTTGCATTACCATTAACATTGATGTATATATATAAAAAAATCACAATAAAGTCAATCTTTAAAAACTGGTGAAAATAGAACCCGCTGTTCACATTTCAGATCGCCAGTAAATCTACACACCGCTGCATATGAGATAATAAAAAAAAAAAAAGAAAAATTATACACACCCATCATAAGATGTCGTTTTCAGCTCATGTTGACGCACAGGTCCAACGGTGGCTGCAACTTGTCTGGTTTTCATGTGATGATTACACAGATATACAATAAGTACACTTGGTGTATAATAGTCGAGAGGAAATACTGGGTTCGGGGTACGGGGTTCATGCATTAGGATCCTACACTAACACAGGATCGAAAACTGGAAGCACAAAAAACAACTTTGGGGCGTTTCTATTTAGTACGTCAGAGAAGTTTTTATGCACATCACTGAAATGAACCCATCATTCCACGACGCGAGTATTATTGCCACAAACCAACCGATAATAAAATCTGCATCAGTCAAAGACACTTGAGAAAAAAAAGAGTCTTCTAACAGTCTGTATAGTCCATAAATTCAGACACAAACTCAACTCCTGGAACTAAGCTGTTCATGTGCCATCTGCTTAAACCAACACGACTGCGTAGCCCTGATGAATTTGACCCATTCTGAGTGAGAAGTGCCAAATGAGGTAAGTAAGAGTGTGCCTTTTCTCTGCCCGGTCACACACCGTCGAATGTGACGAGTTAAAGAAAAACACCAATATAAATCTGTTTTTAAAATAAATATTCAAAAGCACAGTTTATCAATTTCATTCCCTGCTGAGACCTTGTTTTTTTTAAATCACAAGTTTTGTTTCCAAAGTGTATTGAACTATCTTAAATACTGTTGTACACCACCACCTACAGATGGATGCATCGTAAGCATCAGAATAAAGACAGCACTCACGGACTATTTGGCTGATATAAGATAAAGGACAGTACTGGGTTAATAAAGACACACTGTCTGAACTCCTGTCAATATAAGAGACAAACATTTAATCCATAGACTTAGATCAGTCAACTTTGAGCCTGCAATCCAACCATCACTACACCGTGAGCAGGCAGTGCCTCTAGCACCCTCTACCTGCAGTGTGCAGTAAAATAAACATCCCTGCCTTATAATCTAACCCCTCCACTAGTGAGGGCCATCTACGTCATCGGACTTGAGCCATTAGTTACCTTCATAAAAATAAGAACTCTCTCTTCTTTATTGTCCTCTGGTCAAACTCGAGGGCTGTCTTCTGTTATCAAAATATAATAGGAGGCTCTGGAAGCTCATCTGAGGTTAGTAGAGAAGGACACGGAATCACAGTAGGAATACAACTGTAGCTCATGCATGTTCTGTTTAAGTCAATACAAACGACTGTGTGTGTGCTGTCCCTCCGACACCTGCTGCTGATAACACACAATGTTCTTTTAGGAAAAAAGTGCAAAAATGATTACACACACACACACACACACACACACACATACTGACATGGTGCTGGTGGATGAATATGTATTTACAGTGTGTGTGCGTGTTAGTTACAAAACAGGATTCAGTGTGAGGAAACCCTGCCACTAATAAACTCTTCTTCTTCTTTCCTCTAGTTTCATCTGTCTCTAAAAAATCCCCCTCCTCCTCTTCCTCCTCTTCCTCTTTTTGTCATTCCCTGCTTTTTTTTTTCATAGCATCCTTCTGAGGAAGGACTTTTTAAAGGAAGTACAGACACAAACCTAGGTGAAACACACGAAAGGTGAGTGACCGCGTGTGTTGTCCGGCCTAAATACACAACCTCACGCCACATGCTTCGCTCCACGAGAATTAACTGCTAACGCAGTGATGGAAATGAATCCGTTAAGTTGTGTAAAAGAAATGTTATGATTCTGTTGAACCACTGTTCTCTCTCCTGTTTTTTTCCCTTCAGACGGCCTGTACATTCCTTGTGAGTATGCTCGTGGAGAGGACCCACAATCATCCGTTCTCCTTCTCCTGGTGCAGTAGCCAGGCGCTCTCCACAGGCCTTCCTGTGACCTATTGCTCCCATCATGCCTCACTGCCTCCCGGTGTGTGTATCCAAAACTCCAGTGTTACGTCTAAACAAACCACAACTGGAGCCCAGAACACAGTGACCGGGGTCAGCGGAGACAGAAGTGCAATATGAGAATCCCTTGGTGTTTGTGTCAATGTTGAAGTTTCTGTGGGGAAGGGAGTTCTGCTTTTGTCTTGTCGACACACGTTCTCACTTCTTTACATAGGGCCGTACTTGGCCTCGTAACGAGCCAGGATGTTCTGGCAGCGGCCGCAGTCCTTCCGCAGCTCGGCCACTTGCTGTCGCAGCGCCGCGTTTTCCCGCTCCAGGAAGGAGGCACGCACCGTGATCTGGTTCTCCTTCAGGCGCCGCGCGTCACGAGATCGCTTTGCCGCCACGTTGTTCTTCTTCCTCCTGGACCAGTATTTCTCATCCTGTGAGATGAGGGCGATGCGAGTGTGAGAGAGAGAGAGAGAAGGCGGAGAGACAGTTTGACATGATCAGCATTACCAAGAATTGGACAAAACAAACATCTGCGGTGTGAAAACATCCCCATCTCTGATCTTTAATCCATAAGCTGTCCCTCAGCTCGTTTTAATCCGAGCCTCTCTGAGCAGAACTCATCATCATCTCGAACGTGATCTAATAGGTCAAAGAGACACGTAACCTTTTTTAAACTTTGCCTTTTTTTTTTTGCAGTTGTCCTCCCTTCATTCATGTGGGATTTTGAAAAGCGGAACACAGCTGACGTCATAGCATCCACATTAAAGCAATTCAATTCATGCTGCAATTCATGCTTGCCATTCAAAAACTAAGCCCCATCCTTCCCCTGCAGGGGGTGCTATAAACACAGTTATTCATAAGTGTTTAAAGTAATCCTGAAACTATGCCATGACAATTTTCATTACAAGTAGTAAATTAAATTTAAACATAAAAAAAGTTGATACGTCACTTCCTGTTTAGATTTAACCAGCAGCACTGTATCCTTTAAGACGCATCATTGCCATCTACTGGTTCTTTGGACAACTGTGTCCAACCAAAACAATCTTTACTAAAACTTACATCACATCAGCATTAATTACAGGTAGATTTAAACTTGTGTCCAATTTAAATAATTAGAATCATCTTACCTTCTGCTCATCAGGAACAAAGATTTTTTTGGCCTTTTTGATCATAGGCTGCGGTTTTAGCTCCTCGTCAGAAAACTTGTGTTTGCGGGGGTTAAACAGTTCTCCGCCCGGCACACTGGACAGCACCAAGTCTGTGGGATCCGGCTGAAACGGAATGTCCACCTCGATGGCATCTGGGTCAATGGGAGAAGGTGTGTTGCGCTCTGTGGTGTTGCAGTGAAAATGCAAACTTAGATCTGAGAGGACAGGTCAACACAATAACTACAGCTAAGATTAGTTTAACAATTATCGTCTTCAGGTTGACCTAGAACTAAAATCCAGCTACAGGTCTGTTTGTTTCCTAGATTATTCTTTACTGGAGAAATTAAAACCCACTTTAACTCATCATCGAGTCATTTTTGTAAAATTATTTCACTTAGATCAAGAAGACAGTAAAAGCCTCAGACTCAATATTAATTGTGTGAAGATGTAAATTGATTCTAAATCTCAAACACTTACCCGACTTCTTCTCTTTCACTTTCACCTCTGCCGTTTTCTCAGGCAACATTTCATCTTCCTGTCCTTCCTCCTCTTCCTCTTCCTCTTCATCGTCTTCCTCTTCAAGTTTGGCTGGTTGTAATGTCGTGACCGTCACATCTTCTTCAGGTTCCGAGGTGACAGTGGGAATAGCAGAGGCAGAAGGGGAGGACGCTGTGGCAAGAATGGAATCAGCTTCAGCAGCAGCTTCAGCAGCAGCCGTCGTCGTATTAGAAGCAGTGGTGACAGTAGCAGTCGGAACAGCAACCTTAGGGATGAATTTGCCTTTGCCCTCCACCGAGGACAGAGTCTTCTGCAGCTCCTCGTCCTCCAGACTCACAGGGATCCCATTCTCCAGGAGGAACTCGTCCAGATCCATGTATTCCAAATGAAAGGTCTCCCCATCGTAGGGAATGGTCTTCTCCCAAATGGCTGGAACGAGGGAGGCAGACACACCTCCGATTCCTCCGCCGCTGCCGCCACCTGCTCCACCTCTGGAACCTCCGTCAAGGCTGGCTGCCTCAGCCACACCTCCGTCCACATCTTCTGATGTGCTTAGTTTCTCCTTCTCTATTTCTATTTATCAAAACAGAAGTGAATCAAACAGAAGTTCAAGGCGTGACTGAAAAGACACACAGAAGTCTGCATATCAGTGTCTGCTGGAGGTGATGTACAACAACAGTGTGTTTAGACACTTCAATAGGAAATGGACAGAAATTATTTCAAGTGTTTAGATACGTTCAATAGGAAATGGACAGAAATTATTTGAATGATTTTTGTTTAAATAAATTCGATGTATTATCAAAAATTAGCAGAAATAATAAGCAGGAAGTTCTCTGCATGTCCTGCACAAGGACACAAAAACACATGACCTCACAACCTGGAGACGAGAACATTAGGATTAACAGGAAGACAGAAAGTGTCTTTGTCCCGCAGTGCCATTGCTGTTTGGATGTTGTGCATGTGGAGCAGCAGAAAAGAGTGAGAACTTTTTGTTCTTTTTCAGTTTCCTCGCAGCCACGACTCCATCAGAGTGGGCGTCTGTCGCCACGATGTGCGTGTGTGCAAGTGCATTCGTGCAACACAAAATGTCACACATTCCACCGCAAGATTTACATCCACATCAGTGTTTTACACTGTGAGGTTTTAATCCTTCTGCAAAGTCGCAGCTCGTGACCAGGAGAGGAACTGGCGGAGAAGTGAGCGCTGATTTCCTAAATTTAAAAAAATAGACTTACCGTCTTCGCCTTCTTCCAGGATGTTAGGAGGAGGAATGTCCATGACCTTCTTTAAAGCGAAGGGAAATGTTTTCTGTGAAGCCGCCGGGACGACGTTATCACCGGGCTGCTTCACCACTGACACCGCGTCTTTTCCAGGCATTGTTCGCTGTCAAGCTTCGATTATAGACCGAGTCGACGTTCCTGCCGCTGCCGAGGACAAGCTGCTGCTCCGCGGTGAAAATAACAACAATAAACACGCCTGGACAATCAAGTAGAATCGACTATGAATGCCGCTGTATGTCAACACTAGCGTTTATCGACGGCAGTACAACATTTCACTACACTACAGGGGAAAAAACCTCTTGTTCTCTTCTCCCGCTCCGTGTGTGAGCTCATTGGATATTCACTGATCACAAGGCCCGCCCCGTAGAGAGTAGTGGACGTTGATTGGCTGTTTGTCCTCCAACTAGGAATATCGTTTTCAATGTACGTGCACATGCTACACACGCAAGCGCCTGATTGCTTGTTTTTGTTTACAAAGTAGTATTTTTTTTTACAGTCCGTTCATTATTCAAAAAAATGTCAATTAAGTCACGGACTCCTGTGAAGGAAAGCGGCAGCAGAGTCCACAGGTGAAGTACAATAACACGAAGAGTCGCAATATCTCTTCACGCACACAAACACAAAAATATCTTTTGTCTTTGTCACCGACTCACATCCATTCTATCTCTTTCTCTCTCTCCCCCTCCCGCTCACCCTTCACTCCCCACAAAGACACTCGTGGCCAAACACGTGACTCCACCTCCTTCGTTCACACTAAAGAACAATCTGTCAAGGGGCGTGGTTTTCACGTTTCCAGCACGTGCGGCCGCGGGAACGCGCTCCCCGTTGGAACAACCGGCGCGTACCCGACACAGAGGTTACCGAGTTCGTTTACAGAGAGAGGGCATATAAAATACAAACACATGAACAAATCCGGAGTAAATACACAGTCCAACTTAAACACAATTAGGCTGTGTTTTCAAACCGACATTTTAATATAATTTTGTTCATTTTGAGATGTAGAACATGTGTTGTTCTCCTGTACCAATTAACAGTGTCTTCTAATCTGCTACGATAGACACCAGTCAATCGATGACCGCAGACGTCACACACTGTGTTGTTGTTGTTGTGTTGTTTGCACTAATTAACGTTTCACAGGCAGAGCTTTCGAGGAGCCAAACAACACGTCATCTCACGTTTCCACGCACGCGCTCCACGCCACACTGAGCGCGCGACTGGCGATGTCACGCGCTCCTCTGCAGGATGTTTTTTCGTGGAGGAACACAATGTTCAAACCGCCTTCACTGCCCCTGACAACTATTGTTGTGTCTGTGTGTGTTGTCGTGTACAAGTCCAGCGTGACCGACGTCTGACTGAATGTCACGGTGGTGAAAAACACAATTTCTGAACTTGTCAATTAAGGATACCAAAACAAGTGGTCGTTTTGACAAATGCATATACAAATAAATAAATAAAGAGACTTTTATTATGAAAGGTTAACGACATATGAAGTGACTGAATTATTTTTGCGCAATGGAACTTGTTGGACTCTTGTTCAACCTTTAATTTCATGCACCAAACGGGTGTAAATGTGCAGAGCAGAGTAAGATTGTGTATGCATATTGAATGAAGACTGTATTTAGGGACATTAGTATTCCAACAGCACATTCTTAGTTTAGTGTCCTTTCCTGTTTGCCTTCACAAGGGTAAAATAGTCTTAAAAGAGACTTAATATTGAAAATGAAGAGAAACAATTAAGATATTGATGATGCTGTGGATGTTTCAACTGATATTTCCTCTCTCCTGGAAGTTGCATTTGATAAAAAATGTTAACGTCAGGAAATACTGATTTTAGCAGAAAAATAATTACTGACTACTGACTGTTGCCTTTATACCCCACTGTTGTATGGGTATTTAGGAGGATTGTTCAATTTTGTATGGCTTAAGTCATTTGAAAGAAATGGGTTTTGTGAATTTAGGCTTCTGTAAATGAAATTGATTTGACAACATCTGAATACAACAGGTAAAGAAAGAAAGAAAGAAAAAAAACACAACATGATCTCACAAAGAAACTAATGATTTGATGAAACCCAGATCGAGGACTGTTTCAGGTGCAGTCTGTTATATGGCATAAGTGAGGACTGTACCAAGCAACGATAAATGAGGTGCAGGCTTTTGGGGAAAGTGCACCCCCTGCAGGGGAGAGTGTATGCTTGTAAAAGGCAAGTAGTTAGTAGGCAAGGGTTGTTGCATACTTTACTATAACAACAAAAAAACAGTGTTGGTGCATATGTAACACAATTAAACAATAACAATAAAATATAGCTACTGTCTTGTGAAGAAAAACCTCTGGCCTCAAAATCCCAAAATGTATTTTTACAACTTACTTTTCCTGCCTAAAAACAACGTACCAACGTGGACATTTCTTTTCTTACCGCAGTCATTAAAGGTGTTCAAGTAGAAAGGGAAGTCAGCCAAAGACTTGAGGGAGTCTTGGACGTCGTTCCCGTCTCCACCGTAGAATTGTTTTCCTCTGGACATATTGGACGAAACGCGAAACTATTTAATAATGTGTAGATTTAACTTATGTGTTAAAGGTCCAGTCGGCACAGAGAGACTCTTCCTGTGACCTGGTGTGTTCCTGGCTGTCTCTGGAGGTCTCTTTCCACATTTACAAAGTTTCTGACAACTTTACTGCTGCTGCATCACGGGGACTCTCATGTGTCTAAACAGCCTGGAAACAAAGGACGCTGATTGGACGGCAGCTTGTCATGTCAAGCAGAAGAACCAATCAGGGAGAACAAGGCGGGCTATCTGGGAAAAGCACAACAACCACGTTGAGTAAAGCACGTGCTGATTGGACGGCAGCTTGTCATGTCAAGCAGAAGAACCAATCAGGGAGAAGAAGGCGGGATACCTGTAAAAGCACAACAACCACGTTGAGTAAAGCACGTGCCAGAGCACAAGGGTTACCGCCTTTTACCGCCCTCTATTGACGAAACAATGTACTGCACACTATACCAGCCCTACAGGTTAAAATAATGGCATATTCTAAAGGACTATACCGACATTTGCTGTTTATATCGACGCCTTTTCACTTTCTTTGTAAATGATAACAATTCTGGTGAAGAAAAATGGCAGAAAACGAAGATGTGAGTGAATATTCTAACGCATGAAATATACTAGCCTGGGTATTCTATGTTTTTTACTTCAAACGCCTCGAGTTCCCTTGTATGCTATTCAGGTAGAACTTTATGTGAAGTAAACACGAAATCCACTAAACAGAAAAACTCCATATTCACATTTGTTTGCTTGTGCTTGAACTAAACAGAATTAATTTATTTGAGTGAAAGGGTGAAGATTTGACACATCGGTCTGTAACATTAATAAAAAACAAAAATAATCCAAGGGCTTGAAACGCCACCAATAATGAACTCCTAATTAGTCATGCAATGAAACAAGTCCAAACAACATTTTGCAGCAAAGAAATCAGAGCCAATGATGTAAACGTTCAGCAACAACAAGCAGCTGCGGCTCAGTAGGTAAAACAGATTGTATGTGGCTAAACCTGAGTCACAGCGTGTCCACATGATGACATGACTCTGGGTACAAATGTAACCTCGTGCTGTTCCTTTAAGCTGCTTTGGCTGTGTGTGAAAGCTCTGCATATATACTGTACTGTCAAGAAAAACTGTTTTAATGTCAAAAGTGAAACAATTAAATTGTTGCCAAAACAGAAAAATGATTGAAGATCATCCAGATCTTTTATCTGTGTGAGCACTGCACGCACTAGTTATTTTCTTCTTCAACAGGTTAAAAAAAAAAATTCAACACCTGCTCCAGAAGCCAAACTAAAACCTAGTTTAAACCTAGTTTAAAAAGTAGAGACAACGTTTGTCATTGTCAGGCAAAAAAAAAGGCAAAAAAAAAAAAAAAAAAATCCCAAACTGGACATCATACGGCAAAAAGCAGGAAGGAAGAACAAAAAACANNATGTGCTCCAAGTGTGCTTTTGTAGTTGTACAGACTGATGTCCCAGCACAACAGCCAACTCTGGTTGGAAATACTAAAGGAAATAATGTATATTTTAAATATTCTAAAGATAAAGTACGTAGTTTTGAAGAGCATCTTTGGTCATGGACTTTTCTTTTTAGACATCTGTCTGGTTGGGTTTGGCAGATCAATGGCATCTTTGGTCATGGACTTCTGTCTGGTTGGGTTTGGCAGATCAATTTGCTACCTTGGCAGATCCAAATATTGAGTTTTGGTGAGATCTCCTCAATCGTTCAGCAGAAAGTTGTAGTTTCCAAAGTCAACCTCGTCAGGCTTGACGAGCTTATCCTCCCGGGCTTTGGCCAGCTTCTGTCGTAGAAAATCTCTTCTGTCTTTCCACTCCGCAAGTTCCTCCGGACTGTGGGCGTAGTCACAGCTCACGCCATCAGGGCAGCCACCTTTTAACCTGTCAGTCCAAAATAATATTGGATTTAGGGTACTATTTTTACATACAGTTTTCATTATTCCAATGATAACCATGTGCAACATTTTACAATTTAATTCCTGATATGAAATTATGTTATTTTTCTCCCCATGATGCACAGGAAGTGTTTTAATTTAATAGAGTTTATTATAGAAAATGTATTAAATAACATAATTTAAATCCAGGGTTAAACACCACACACACAGCCTACACCTTAATGTCATGCCAAAATGTTATGATCTACTGTGTACTACTATGTACTACTCCAACAATGACAATAATGATTGGACCAGCCCTAGTTATTACTGATGATTTACAGAAAAACAACTCACCGTGGGCAGAGTTCAAAGTGTTTTCCCGGGAAGCGGTGGTCCCAGGTTATAGCCTCATCTTCTCCTTCAAAGCTGAACACTCTGGCCTTGTGCTTCTCAGAGGAGATGTGCTGCTGCCACTGCCGCTCGCTGTTACTGGTCCGGCCGCAGAGGTGGCAGTGAAAGCCGATCTAAAAGTTCAAAGCGGGTTGGGTCGTTTTAGTTGTTGTGGGTGTCAGAGGAGCTGCTTTAACTGAAGAAGTAAAGTGAACCTGCCATCTGTTCAGCAAAGTCGGTTGGCATGACGATACATTTTTCTTCTGGGGTGGACTGGTAGGCTGTGGCTTCATCTGCTTGGCGATTGTGGGTCGACGTGGTCAGCCAGGTGTCGTAGGCCTGCTGGATGTCCAGCACTACAGACAGAACATGAGGTCAACACACAATGTGTATATATATGTGTGTGTGTGTGTGTATTGCTCAGTGAAGACAGCACGACAACTCATTTGCATTCATTCACAATGCACAGGATCAGAGAGAAGAAACCATTCTCTAGATCAGTCTAGATCACCTTTTTTCGTACCATGGACCGGTCGGCCGGTATCAGTCGTTACTGAATTGAAGGATTTTAAATGTTTTAAAATAAAACATCTTTTAGACTTTAATTGAAGGGTTTTAAATTTTTTAAAATAAAACAACTTTTAGACTTTCTTCTCTTAGTACCAGAGTCTGAATGACCTGTTATTTTTTTAAACATTGACGGATTATCTTTGAATGAAAACAGCAAATGGATATGACTGGATTCTTTTTGAATGAAGTCAATTAGTATGACCAAATGACCTACAGAACAGCAACGGTCCCCGGGCCGGGGGTTGGGGACCCCACGGCCCAATACCAAATGACCTACGGAACAGCAACGGTCCCCGGTCCTGCTCTGGACTACTCAAATCTTTCTGACTTTTTTTCCCAGGTTATTGCCCTGAGACTCACTTTGTTATTCCAGACAAAAGCAATCTCGGCTGTGCCAGCGTTAGGACTCACAGTGATGTTTCTTCATATACATCCACAATTCTCTCTCCTCCTGGCTGTGAGCGAAAGTGCAGAGTCCGGTGTAGTTGCATTTGTTTTTCTTTAAAATCTGGGCACACATCTGTGGACAGAGACCCTGAGACGTCAAACTCTGCACGTTTCAGGCCATAGTCAACAAAAATATACGTGCTGCACAGCATAACAACAACAACAGATGGCGCGAACCTACTTCGTATTGCAAGGGGAAGTTCTTGGAATGAGGCACAGGTCTGACGTGGACCCATTTGCTTCGTTCTAAAGACCTGACCAGCAGAATTCGTCTGTCCTTTGACCACCTGGTGGCGACGTCACAAGAGGACAGGAAAACTACTCATGATTTTGACAGGATTATTTGAATGCAGATACATTCAGGAAATCAAATCGTTGTATTGTCAACGCCCTCCTCCACTCACACGTGTCGGGCCTTGGCGTTGCAGTATTTAAGGGCTTTATCTGCCTCAGTGATCTGTCCGTCTCTCCAGCACTGAGCACAGGCCAACTTTAATGTCATGTTCTGATTCTTTCTCGCTCCTCCTTCTCCTCCTGCTGCTCCTCCTCCCCAACTCTTTGCTTTGCTACCTTCAAATGCCAACGGCGCCTGAAGAAATACAAAGTAAGACAGTGGGAAAATAGCCTTGAAGCACAGGACACCTGCAGGTCATGTAAGAAATTGTTACTTACTTTATTCCCCCTCTGTTTTAAGAAGATTTGTTCCTGTTTTTCATAATGTTGTGTGGACACTTTTACAATCTCTTCTGGGCTGATACCTGTGAGGAAAAAAAACACAGACAACAACTTGACTTGATCAAATAATGTAACTATAACAATAACAAATCGAGAAAAATGGAGCACGACTGATCACTCGTAACTAGATATTTCCTCACATCAGGAGAGAGAAAAATGGAGCACGACTGAGCACTTGTAACTAGATATTTCCTCACATCAGGAGCAAAATCTTCTAATAGTTGCAGCTTTGTAACTTGGAATACTAGTTAATACTAATTAATACTCGTTAATACTAATTAATACTCGTTAATACTAAGAATACTAATTTCGGGGAGCTCGTATCCAGGGGGTCCACTATTGTATTTTGTTAATTTTACTTCTATATTTGTCGCTCCTGATTTGAGAAATCTCCTCACCTGTTTGACGCTGCACCCTCCAGGTTTTGAGCTCTATCAAGGAATGGGCGTACAGACAGGTGTCCTCTCTCTGGCAGCCGTACCTGATGGCATTCTGACATAAATCCAAGCAGCACAGGACACCGAGTGGACGCACCTTTCTGAAGTTCACATTGTGGGTCCTCATCACAAACGCCAGACACCTGAGACCGAAAGATGAAGAAAAAGGTTGAGTTTAAATGTGGGGGGGGGGAGACTGGAGCATTTATGAATGGAATGAACGAAGGTAGAAGGTTTTAATACAAGTTTGCAAACACACTTATTAGCATCAAATGTGTGGCGCGTGTTGACGTTAGAGCACAGGGTGGGATTTTCTTTGCAGCGTTTACTGATAATTCTGGGCTTACTGTCGTAACACTCCTAATGAGAAACAGAGAAGAAAAAAGAATTACAAACAGAAAATGATCTGAGTAGTTGTGTGGCCGAAAACAAACAAACAAGATAAATACAAATGTATCAGGTCATTTTTTAATTGAATTATTTTGTATTTGAATGTATATTTGCCCCCACCTGACAAAGGAACAGGTACGTGCCCCTGTGCTCCTGTAGCAGGCGTATGATCCGGTTCACAGGGTCCAGTTTGGTCTCAAACAACAGGCTTCTGTCCAGTGTTCCTTTTCTCTCCTCTGTCCACACGTCGATCTCCAGCTGGTTGTAGGCAAAAGTGCAGTCCTCTCCGTACTTACATACACCGAGTTTAGAGCTGAGCACCTCTGAACAGAGGAGAACATGAACAGCTGTGTCACATACACATATAAATACACAAACAAATACATACGTATACAAATATATATGTATGTACTCACGCAGTTATTCCGACTATTTGAATTGTCTAAGGATGTGAACATGTGGACAGCAGGGTCTTACTGCACCAATGTCTCCGCTTCATTTTTACCTCTTATTTTAACAATGAAACCCAAACTGTCTGGACACAGACAGAGGTTCAATAACCCTGGGTTTGACTCTAACATCCTTTACCTTTGCAAAGCACAAAAGGCCCTTTGAAGGATGTGCACGGAGGAATGGGTCGCACTCTGGTCCACTCTGAGGGCGGAGTCTTCTTTCTTCTACATAACAGAATGTCTCGTGAACAGCTGTGGGCCAGACCTGGTTTATGGACGTAGGAATAAATCCCTGGACCTGAAAGAAGACAATATGGAAAAAAGGTGTATTTTTGGTAGAATTACTGCTTCAGCATATTTCCTCGACCTACTGCCTTACCTTGACAGGGAAAACAGAGGGAGCAGGCCTGAAGAAACTCATGGGTGGAGGACAGAGAGTTATAACCTGCTGCTGATGTCGCTTTGTTTTCCTGCTCCATCAGTGACGTGGTAGAAAAAAACATTGGTTACTGTGTAAAAAAAAAAAATCGAACTGTACAATAGTTTTATTTGACATACTTTGTAGCCATTCTTTGGACAAAACTTCACTGGAGCTGCAGCAACATGGCAGCCTGAGGAAGAACACAAGTGACGACAGATGGGAATGTGATCATTTGGTTGTTGATGTTTGACTCCTTCTGTTACTTGTTATTTCCCACTTCACCCACTTCATCACAGAACAATTAGTTTGTTTCACATCAACGTCCAAATGCACGAAAAGTTCAACCCTCCCTCCGTCTTGGCCAACACGCAACCAAGGCGTAGCCACGGTCACTAGATACCGTATTAAATATTTGAAGGACTACCACACAATGTGGCAGTCCAACCTTTCCTCTTTCTAAGCCAATATGCAACCAAGGAGTTGTAATAGTACCTAGATACAGTCATAAATATTTCAAGAAATACTTTACAATGTAATAGAAGGTTTAAATCTCTGAGGAATGTGTTTGAGCAACTTGCAAACAATGTGGCCATGTGGGTTATTCCATCAGATTTCTTTCAGAATAAATTCAGTTTTTAGGCCTTTGGATGTAGAACTCTTCCCATGTGTTCTAGAGAGTACAGTAACAGTACAGTAAAAAATAAAAACTGTATTATAATATTCACCTGATAAATCCTGAGTATCAGTTGGTTTGAATTCAGCTGGCAGAGACACACTGACTTTTTCTTCTGAGCCAAAAGAGTCCAGGACATCGAGGGAGTCCAGCTGGTCCACTACGAAACCAAACTGTAATTTTTCAGCAGCGTGACAGGCTGGATCCCCGTGCTCCAGGTCATCTAGGATGTTATTGTAGGACTTTTTCTTTCCATGTTTTTCTGTTTTCAGTAGGATATCGTTAGTTGCAGCAGCAGCACCCCTTGTGGTTGTATGTAAGAAATCATCCAGTGAATCAAGGCCATTCAAACTCCCGACTGCTGCGGATGTCAGTCCTCCATTTGGCACGGCCGCACCAAATCCAGGTCCAGGGAATTTTTCAAAGGCATCCAGACCCTGGGGCTCTAGAAGGTTGTCCAGAGTATCCAGTACTGTGGCGGCGATGCCGTGACTGATGCCTGAAAAGGAATCCAGGGAGTTGAGTTGGCTGACGGCTGAAGTGAAGAAGGCAGGGGGCAGCTGAGGTGTCGGGGCAGGCAGGCCTGAAGGGAGGGTGTGTGTGCTGCTGGAAGTCCTGTTGGAGGCTGGGAAAGCCACCTGGGTGAGGGTAGTAAGGAGAAAGGAGGACAAGAATCACCTTCAGTCACACTTCGTAAACATCACGAGGAAATACACGAGAAAGCACGACCAAACCGATCTAACCTCAGGTGTCTCCTGCCTGGTTGAAACACAGTCCAGCAGACTGTCTATGTCTTCTCCTATCAGCTCACAGTCGTCCATGGTGTCCATGGTGTCCAGAATGTCCAGAGTGTCCAGTGAGTCCAGGGTGTCCAGTGAGTCCAGTGAGTCCAGGCCTGAGTTGACACCCCTTTGGGGGCCGCTTTGAGATTCTGAGGTGAGTGCGGACTGAGGCATGCTGGGTAAGTTGACTGCAGAGAAGCAGAGTATAATCGTGGTCAACTCTCTGTCTAAAAGGCACCACACTGACATGAGCTGTTTGGATGTTTTGTCTTTAACGGTAATTAAGTCAAGGCCACAGTTCTCACCAAATGCAATGTTGCTGGGAAGATTAATCCCATTTCCTGTTCTGGCAGCAGACACCTGCAGAGAAGGAGGAAAAATATTTTGGAGATTTGAGAAAATATTCTCAACATGGAATCTCGGCAGGAAAATAGAAAGAAAAAAAAACTGATGGTGTTGAATGTTCAAAACAACACCTGCCTGGTTGCCGTTAGTCGTCGTGTTTCCATTAGTGACAATTTCAATTTTCTGTGCACCAACCTGGGAGAATCACAAAAACAAAAAAATGACAAACTGAGGAAGTCAGTGATGCAACAATGATGATGATGATCAATTTTTCAATATTTTTAACTGCAGTGCAGATTTTCTTTTCAAGATAATTAATTGATAGAGTAAAATAAAAACTATCAATTAATTTTTAATACGTGTCTGTTTCAAGCTCTAGCTGTTGTTACTACAAAGTAAAATCTCCAAACGTGAATGTAGGTCATAAAAAAACCAAAACCATTCTCTTCTCACCCATTGTTTACCAAACACTCTACTGTCTTAATGGTTATATATGGGTTTGGTATCTTTACTTAACACACCAAACACTCTACTGTCTTAATGTCTATATATGGGTTTGGTATCTTTACTTAAGCTTGTAGTACTTGAAATTGTCCACTTGGGTAAGGGATGTTTAGTTTACACATGGAGAGATAGAACTTTATTAATCTCTCGGGAGTTCCCTTAGGGAAATCTGATCCACATAAGTATTTTACATTGAAGGAATTCTGTATGAACTCTAGATTGAATGCAGTCTTTGCGTGTGTTTGACTCAATGGATCTGGAATGCTCCATTAGGGGCCTTTAGGTGAAAAGGTCTCAGGAAAAAAAGGAGGACGGTGCTCTGTCATATTGAAGGACAGGATTCAGAATAACATCCAGATGTTCTGTCTCCTTAATTCATTTAAACAACCAAGGTATAAAGGAGAGAATTGGAGGATGTTTAAGATCCATAAGCCACTCAGACGTCATCAGCCTTCATCATCATCATCATCACCATCAAATCATCAACAACAACATGGTTAGTATAATGTGACTAACATTTTTGCTGACGTATGGCTTCTTGTTTTTCAATCCCAGGTGCACGGCCAGATCTTGTGCCAGCTCATTCACCTCTCGGCCCTTTTAAAAGCAAAAACAGAGAACATTAGAAAAAGAAATCATTGACCTTAAACTGAGAGCGCCCCCTGTGCTTTGAGATGAACACTACATCCACATACAGCAGTACAACACTTGTTTTCATGCTAATATTGGTTGATCTAATACTGAGGGTTATAATATAATAAATAATGACCACATCAGAACAAATGATTTGATTGATCCTCAGGGACGTCAAACGTTTAAACAACACTGCAAGACAAACAACCCGATCTATAGCAATGCTATAGATTAGACAGCACAAAAAAACATCCATGCAAGACTGTGCCATTAGGTTTTCTACAAACTAAAACCCTGGTATTAACACCTGTCTGAGGTGATGAGAATGAAGAGTGTGAAATCCAACTTCAAATTCAGACATGAAGACATTCAGTCCAGTCTGACTCAGAAACACAGCAACAATCAATTCAGAGGTGATTTGGAAGATAATAACATCTGTACTGGGAGAACACACTGTTAAATTATTAGTGAACGTAGGAGACATTATTTCCACCATCAGTCAACAAGACCTTTGGACCTCTGCAGCCAAACAGTTGTGCAAAACACCAGTTTGATTCAATTCAATATCCCAGAGATGGTTAATCAATGGAACGATTTGAGTTGAGGAAGTTTTGATGAGTAGATATAAAAACATAATAATTATAATTCACAAATATGGACTAATGTTTGTAGCCGTGATCCCAGAACACACACATTCAGGAGGTATTTTTTATTTATACTGTAAACATTTATATTTTGTTATGTGTCGATGTGTGTGAATGTTTAAGGACAGAAAGTGTTAATACCAGGTGTAACTTGTCTCAAACTAAGTCACAACTTTACCACAGTATCCACTACAGTAATCTCTTCATTGGCGAAGTAATGATCCTACACACGAAAGTAACAAATCAGTGACCTCGGATTCATTTCGTCTTAATTACTGACTTGTGTTCTGTGCCTTACCAGACGGTTGAGGAGCAGACAGTCTGTAGTGCAGTAGTACGCCTCCTTATATTTCCCGAGCTCTTTCAAACAAAGTGCCTTCGTGTACAGAGCCCTGTGGTTCTCCTTACACAGCTCCAGAGCACTGTCGCAGTCAATCACAGCCTTTTCATATTCTCCCTGTGTGGGGGAAAAAAATAAAAAATAGAGACAAACAAAAAAGATATAAAAAGCATAGAAATACGGTAAAAAAAAAAAAAAGGAAAATGAATACACGTGTTGTTTAAATTGATATATTGTCACTGAAGGTTCTAGGCTCTAGACCTGCAGTTAAAACATCCAACAGATTTAGTAGAGGTCACATTCCTTTCAGTATGTAATTGTTCTTGTAAGCAGCTTCATAAATCAGGTGCAAGGACACTCTTCCAGTGAGAAAGGAAATACCAGGTTCTTAGCCGAGTATAAATTTAATATTCCCTTCTAACAAATGCCTACTCTTAGGTGTGTCTACATTGGTTGACTGAAATATAAATATTTAGTGCTGCACCAATAGGATCAGCTGAACAAACTTTTTGGCTTTGTGCCTGCGTACTGCTTTGAGAATTGAAATTTCTCTCCAATCTTCCAAAGAGATCAATTAAGTCTTCGCTAACACTAGTTTCTTCCTTCACTACGAATGTGCAGGGAAGTGTTGGGCAGAATGTATTCAATATTTTGCCAACAGAGCTGCAAATAAGTTATTATTTCACTCATTAGTTGAAACCAGAAGTGGAGGAGATGTTCAAAACAACAGCTTTTGTGAAAACAGCAATCTGTTTCCATGGAGACACAAAAGAAGAAGAAGCTAAACTTCATTTCTGGCCTATAAGGACTATAAGTTTTCACTGAAAGAGTTACATGGAACAAGCTGACCTAGTTCACAATAGCCGCTTCTATGAAGCACCAAGGTCATAAAGATATGATGAGAGGGAGGCAGAGAGTAAAGGAGAGAGAGGGGGAGAGTGAAAGAACAAAAAAACATTTCTTTCTTCCTTTTTTTTTTTTTTACATGCTTTGTATTTTTAATGGTGAAAGTGATGCAAAATGGACCAACTGAACTGTCAGCTGTTGCTTGAAAATAGTCCATGCCTTTCGTGGAATATTTTTGGCCAGTGTGCAACTCACTAGCTCCATGATCATGCAGACGTTAGAGTAATGCTACAGCCTCCATGATCATGCAGACGTTAGAGTAACCACCAGCTCCCACAGGCTGCAGGCAGAGAGCAGAGAACGGAACTCACCATCCTGTGGAAGGCAGAGGCCCGGTCCACGTACAGGCTCTCCAGCTGAGCTTTAGGAATCTGGATGTCTTCTTCTTCGTCTGCATAGTGTGAGATGTTTAGGGCTTCACTGAAATGTTTCACAGCCTCCTCCGACTCTCCGTCTGTGAGTGAGGCATTGCCTTCGTCAAGCAGGTTGCACACCAGGCGGGTTAGGAAGTTCTGGGCAGACAAAAAGAAGGAAAGTTATTTTTTTAAATTTATGTTCCAGGCCGTTTATAAAGAGTTTTGTTAATATTTCATAATTATTTCCTGCGTTTATTTTTTCATTTATAGTTAACTACAGGTATGTTTAGGACAAATCGCACTGAACGGTCATTAACAGACAATACTTTGCTATGGCTAGTGGATAAACGAAGCATCAATACCATTAATAAATAAACAAACAAACAAAATAAACAAAAATTAAATTGTACAGAATATACAGAGTTAGTAGATGAGAAGAGATTTGTTTAATTTTTTTAAATGTAGTGCCAATTAATAAAACAAACGTTCAGGCAGTGTGTTAAAAGTAAATTTTACTGATTAAAAGAAATAATTAAATTAAATGACTCATGTTTAATGAGAGTTAAATGACTTTGGAGTACTAATTAAAAGAAATGATTAAATTAAATGACTCAATGACTCGTGTTTAATGAGAGTTAAATGACTTTGGAAAATGAGACTATTTTTATCAAATTGTTTATCTTAATCTTAACAATAATCTTTAAAGTCTCCTTTACACACTTTATGCAGTTTAATGCTATGTACCTCAACTGTTCACTGCACCTCGTGTCTTATCCTGCATTACAATCAACACTGCTTATATATATATATATACACATACTGTATCTATTTTATACTGTCCACCATCTGTATATTTATTAAACCTGCAGTGAGGAACAATGCAAAGCCAAGACTCCACTGAAGGGAGCAGGACAAACACACATTTGTCTGATTAAAAACAGAGCTTGAAGGATAAACATTAGCTGATAAAAGGCAGGGTTGACGTGTCAGAAACGAAACTGTGTGACTTCATCAACAAGTCAGAGCCATGAAAGTCAAGGTAGTTTGTGGGACACCAAAGACAGAGTAAGAGACAGTGTCAAAAAGACACAACACTGTAACAGTTGGTACCTGGTAGCACTCGGGCTCAGGATAAGCCAGAGAAGACCTGCAACCAAAAAGAACAGACACTTACAAACCACTGACACTTGGCTTGTCAGTACTGTGAGATAACCCTCTGTTTCATTTTCTCCTAAACCAAAAAGCAGACTCACTGTAGGAAGGCCAGACCTTTGCTTATCTCCTGCCTTCTCCTCTCTCTGACAGGGTCCATGCTTCTTCACTGGAGAGGGAGAGCAGTAGAACAAGTGGATTATTAACAAAAAAGCCAGTGGTGTTCTGCAGAAGGATGGTGTTCAGCTAAAACCATCTTCCACCAAACAGTCAGCCCTCAGCTCTCATGCCCCCTGCAGCCCGATGTGCCTCTGCTTTATAGTTCCGTGGAGGTCCTCCGCAAACACAGCGCACCTACCTGATGCAGTGAGTAAGTTCACCGATGGAAAACTTTGATTACACGAGCTTCATGTCGTGAAATTAACACTATAATCACAATAGTAGTGTTGGTAGCCTAGCGCTTACGCGGAGTGGAGCGGAGGAGGAAGTAAACCAAAGTCTGGTCCACAGATAAGTTTCGATTCCTGGCATCAGCTATCCTAAACAGCCCGCCCCACCTACATGACACACGCGAGTCGGTGCACTGGCCCTTTAATGAAAAGCCCAACTTTCGCCCGGAGTTTTGTCTGATGGGTCCATGCGCAATCACAGACAATCGTAAAGCTAGCATGTGGTTCTTCGTATATATATTTTTTTTTTTTTAAATCGAATTTCTTTTTAACATATAGAACAAATAGAATTAAATTGTTAGTAAAAACTCTGTAGTAATTCCTCTTAGTAATCATACTAAGAGGAAATAGCTAAATATTAGCATTGTTGTTATTATTTTGATTCTGAGTTATCACTACTGGTAAAATAACCAATCGCTCGTTGCGGTTTACAGAACCTTAAGAACTACAATTCCCATGCCCTTAGCTGCGCGTAGGTCACATCCGCTGGAACGGTTGGTGGTGTGTTTTTGAACGTGAGGAGCGAGGGTTAAGTGTGTAGCGAATCTGCACCGTCTCAGCGCTGCCGTGTTGTGGTAATGTTTGACGTAAACTTTTCCTGGTCCAACAAAGTGCTCTTTTTTTTTCTTTTTCTTTTTTAGTAGTTGTGAATTTAAACAGCGGGACAGGTAGTTAATGCTAACACAAGTACCCAACATTTAATGAGTTAACATACTGGAAAGGCCGGTGCTCGACCACGCTCTGCCTGTCTCCGGTTACGGTGCTAGTTAGCTGATAATATGCACACTTTTATTATCAGGCAACGCAAGAATAAACATGTTACGCACATAGCACGTTTATGTTTGACTAAACATAGCGTCATCGTTCTCAACATATCTATTGTCCCGGTGTCTGTATTTGACTGTCGTGTAACTAATGTATGAATGGCCGGCTAATGCTAACTGTAAGGCTGCAAAGGAGGGAAAGTGTCATACATGTCAATACTACGCCTTTGTAGACGTATAAAATTGACACTGGTGCTTATAGATCTAGTCAAATGTTATTATTAATGTTCCGAAATCTTCGGAATTTTTAAAATACTTCTTACCACAGGTTGCACCTGATTATTCTGTACATGGTAGGATTTATAAGCTCATAAATGTGTGGCTTTTCGTGAAGTAAATCTGAATAATTTGGGGAAACCGCTGTTTTGCCACGTTTTGGAGGCGATGATAATTCAGCACATTTAAAGTATCATGTTTAATAAATTTAGAATTAAAATTCGGATTTTTTAATAAACAAGTTGTGACAATTATTATATTTAGTACCATTAAAAAAATTATAAACAACTGTTTATAATGTTCTTCATCCTAACCTGTTGTTTCTGTGTAACACAATAATAACACAAAATATATTAACTACATTAAACTTACCGAAAGGAAAAAACAACCACCTTGTACAGATAATGTGTTATTGTTGTTTTGTTCCTCAGGTGTTACGATGGCGACAGACATTGTTGCACAGTTGGCCGACTCTCTGGCCAGTACGGGTGTAGGTGAAGGAGAGTTGAGCTACAAAGGCGAGGGAAGAAAGCTGGATGATGCAAAGTCTGGTAGGTTTTTTTTTTTTGTTCCTACTCGTCATTTAGTTTAATTACTGCCAACTGAATTCTGTTTGTACATCTCCTTTCACCTCAACGTATAATCCCTGCGCCCTGTTCTGTCTTTTTAGTGGAGGAGATGGTGAAGGAGATCCAGGACTTTAAGGGTTTACAGGCCCTGAGGTTGGAGGGGAACACAGTAGGAGTGGAAGCAGCACAGGCCATCGCTAAAGCTCTGGAGACGAAGAGCGACCTCAAGGTTTGAAAAAATGTACTCTTGTTTTCTATAATTATTTTATAGAAGAAGATGCAATGAGAAATAAGATAATTCGAGATGATAATTTGGTAAAATGTAATCATCATGTTATCTCTCTGTTATCCAGTGCTGCTATTGGAGTGACATGTTCACAGGTCGTCTACGCTCTGAGATCCCACCTTCATTGGTAAGTGCACATGCTGTTCATATTTTATTTTTATAAGATCTCAATCCTAATCCCCACATGAAACATATCTGCATTCATTATCTGCTCTTAATCAGTCTACTCCTCTTTTTGTGGTCTAGAATTCTCTTGGCGATGCCCTCATGTTGGCGGGTGCCAGGCTGACTGTTTTAGACCTCAGTGACAACGCCTTTGGACCAGATGGGGTAAAGGGCATCGAGAGGCTACTCAAAAGCAAAGCCTGTCACACACTACAAGAGCTACGGCTAAACAACTGTGGCATGGGCATCGGAGGCGGGAAGGTGAGTCACAGTGGCACCATCATGTCTGTTTGTATCTGCTAATGCTCTGATAGTTGTCCTTCCAGCTGAACTAACATCTATGTTAACTCACTGCTCAGATCCTGGCAGCCTCCTTGATTCATTGTCATAAGAAATCCAGTGCGGATGGTGCCCCCCTCAGTCTGAAGGTGTTTGTTGCAGGGAGGAACCGACTGGAGAATGATGGAGCCACAGTCCTCGCTCAGGCTTTCCAGGTACAACACTTGATATTGGTATCTTGTGGCACTCTGTTTGAATTTTGTTTTTAAAACATACCTGTTTTAAGGTCATTTTACCCAATCCCTCTACAGCAACAAGATCAAATTTGAATTTGAAATTAACTGACAAATGATTGTGTTACAATAATAATCATCAGAGCATGGCAGCGACACAGAAATGTGGCACTAGATCAAATAAATTTGAATTCAAATTAACCGACAAATGATTGTGTTACAATAATAATCTAATGACTGTAACATTTGCTCCCAGTTGATGGGCAGCCTGGAGGAGGTGCACATGCCCCAAAATGGCATAAATCACGCAGGGGTCACGGCCCTGGCTACAGCAATGCAGCACAACACTGGTCTGCGCATCCTTAACCTGAATGACAACACCTTTACAGAAAAAGGTGGCATTGCTATGGCTAAGGTACGACTTCAGAGGCTTCACAGAATGTAAACAAACATTGTTTGGTCGTGACCAGCTCTTCCCCGGACTTTGATAAACAGCTGTAGCCGTTAATGTCTGTGCCCTTCACAGGCCCTGAAACACCTCCGCAGCATCCAGGTGATCAACTTTGGAGACTGTCTGGTGCGGCCAGCAGGAGCCAAAGCTATAGCAGAGACAGTATCAGGGGGTCTGCCCATTCTCAAGGTCAGTCCACACAACACACACGTCTCATTTTCTGCTGAGAATAATCGAGTTGGCCTGAAGCTATTGGTGGCTTTAATGTTGTAACCTGTGTGTGTGTGCAGTCCAGATCTGACCGGGTGTGTCCTCTGTTTACTAATTAGAGCGTCAAATTATCTAACACGTCATTTCTTCCATGTTAACATTCTGTTCCTTCTTTTTTATTTATTTGTTTTTTTACAGGAATTGAACCTGTCGTTTTGTGAAATCACAGAGGAAGCAGCTCTGATTGTGGCACAGGCAGTAAAGGACAAAGAGCAGTTGGAGAAACTGGATCTAAATGGTAACATTTTGTTCTCTCCACACACCTGCATGCTTTTGTCTTTGTTGGTTCAGTCTCAGCTTTTGCTCAGGCTGGTTTAGTGCAGGATGTTGAACCGGTTTGAGATCATTCTTTTTGTGGTTGTGAAGCATCCTTCAACAGTGTTTGTTATTTTGGTATCAAAAACAGATCTGTTGGATCTGAGCTGACCTGAAGTTGAAGCCCCCACAAATACAAACATGCTGCGAGTTCAGATGGTATTTTAAACTCGAGATGCTTTGAAACGTAAACGTTTTCCAGCTGTGTGTGTGTGTGTAAATGACACCGTGTGCATGGACTGTATAAGTGTGTGTGGATGGGGGGAATTGATGTGTATATGCTGCACGTCATTCCAACTGTGCATTAAAAAAAATTGAATTGAATTAATTCAACAAATTAATTATTGTGGTTAGTGTGTTAAATTTGACAGCTCTAGATATGTCTGGTCCTTTCAAGTCATTCGCTTCATTAACATCAGTTCTAAAAGACTGAAAAATGATTGTTTGTTGTCAGGAAACTGCCTCGGAGTTCATGGCTGCAGAGCTCTGAAAGACACCATGGAAGCCATGAACATGAGCGAGCTGTTAGGGTCTCTCAGGTAATCTGTGTGTGTGTGTATATTTATATATAAACTGTTATATATAAATTATATATATTTATTTATTATTTATAATATTTATTATTGTTTCTTTATTTAACCTTTACCCCTTGCAGTGATGATGAGGGTGAGGCAGACGATGAGGATGAAGATGAAGATGAGGAGGACGTGGATGAAGAAGAAGTGGAGGAGGAAGAGGAAGAAGAAGAAGAGGAGGAAGAAGATGAAGAGGAGAGCAGTGTCAGCAAGGTAGTATAAATGTGTAATTGTTGTGTAATGAGAATGTACTTTGTGTTGATAACTGAAAAAACACTCAATTCCACTGAATAGTTGGTAAGATTATAGAATATAATTTTATATAGTTGTAAAAGTTAAAGACAATTACATTTTTTTTGTCCTTACGCTTTACTTCTTTGTCCCTTTTTCTTCTCTCTTTTTTTTCCTTTAAAGTTGTCCACCCCGGTGATTTCCTCTCGGCCACCAGACGTCTCGTCCTTTCTCAGCTTCCCTTCTCCAGATAAACTACTTAAACTGGGAGCCAAGCGCGCTCTGATGATCGAGCAGCAGGTAAACACATGGATATTTGGGACAAATACGGCGTAGTTCAGGTTGGATGTGATGCTCGCCGGGCGGTCAAATTAAGACCCTGCTCTGACTCTTGGTCTGTCCAGGTGGACGTAACAGATGTGACCAAAACCGCTGAAGCGTTCCTCAAGATTGCATCTGTGTACAAAGAGGAGAATAACGAGGTGAAGAATGCAGTGCTGGAGAGCATTGGTGAGACACTCTGACCCAGAGCAAACATTGAAACTCCATGTAACTTTCCAGGAGAATTCTTTGTCCGTGACACTCTTCCTGTTTCCTTCCAGATAATCTTCTGAAAAAAGCTTTTCTAAGTCCGTCCTTTCAGGGCATCAGTTTTGTGTCATCCTTGTTAGTGCTGCTCGGACTTATCAAGGTATGATCTACCTGTTCCACTCACATTTGCACTTTCACTGCAGGACTCATTGCTTCTTAACACGGCTGTCTTTCCTGTACTCCTAATGCTTCTTTTGACCCACTCTTCTACCCCACGCCCACGTCCCACTCAGAGTGAGGACAAAGTGAAGCCAGTGCTTATGGTTCCCGGACACCTCCACGTCCTGGAGCACGTGGTTCAACAGGAGTACTTCCCCAAAGAGAACGTGACTGTGCTGGAGGCCTTCTTGTCTCGGTAAGGACGTGACAGAATGAGCCAATCAGCAGACAGCATGCAGGTACAAAACCAGCTGAATTATCATGCAATCATACGTGAACGCTGATGCACATGGTGCCGTGTTGGTGGTGAACAAACACCGTGCTGTTGTTTTCTGTGGTAGAATTTTGTTAAATGTGTTTACACTCGTAATATTTGAATAATAATTCATCACTTCAGTTTTATTTTAGTTTGTGAGTTGACACCATGTGTGATTGACAGCTGGGTCGTCCAATAGAAAGCTCTCAAAGAAAAAATGTTTTATTGTACAGTTGTTTTTAAGCATAATGTAATCTTTTGCACAGTACTGTCATACAGTACTATAGTGGTATGTATAGAGTATTTCACAGTATATTTTTGAATATGAATGGGTATCACAGTGTGTTTTTATGTTTTACAGAAACAACAAGGCTTTGGAGTCATGTGGCCACGCAAAGAACAGCCTCCAATCAACACTTCAGAGAATACAGTCTCTGAGCTGAGGACAGTGGACACATTAACTCACACTGAAATTTAAATAATCAATGGTGGATGACTGTTGTCCCACACTAAACTGGACCTAAATAGAAGTAAATGACATGTTTTGGGTGCAGTGGATACTGTCCCATGACTAAGAACAGGACTCATACCCTCATGTTGTTTTATTAAGACAAAGCTCCAGTTTAAAATCTATGGTTTTCTAGTCACGACACAGGACTGAAGCACAGACGCCCTGACCAGAGTCGACCGCAGGACTTGGCTGTTGTACATTTATATTTCACACCTATTCTTATTGTTCTGTGTTTTATAAAATAAATAAGTAAAATTAAATAAATACTGAGTTTTGTCTCAAAATGAGACAAAAAAAATTGAATAAATATCATAAGTACAGAGTATTTTGAGTTGTGTTTCAACAGAAAAGTTTTGGTTGTGTGTGAATTTATCTTTTTATTTTTTATACAAATGATTGGTGGGTTTTTGTCATGCATTAAAGTAAAAAAAAAAAAAAAAAAAAAAGCCAGTTTTATAACTTTTTTTATGTGAATAAATCTCTGGTATTAGAATTGCACTTTGCCCTGAGGATTTCAGCTTCTCCAACAGTAAAGAAAATGTGAAGCCAGTGTGTTAATTTGCAGTAAGGGGGCGCCAGGACCAGGGGTCAGTGCAAAAGAATTTTTCAGTGACTTGTTTGTTAGTTTGCTGAGTTTCAGTGCTGGACACAGGCACAGACATCTGCAGGTAACTGAAGTAAAAACTGGTAGATTCACATGAAGTTCTGCTTTTGTACCAGCCTTCGTCCAAACTGTTGGAGCTGATGTTCTGCTTAAAAGTGAGATCTATGCTCTAAGGTGAGTGAATGTGTTTTATTTTGCATCTTTGTTCTGATTTGCTGGTTATTCTGGTGATAACAGTCAATTTTGAAATGGTGACATTTTAGGATTAAGAAAAATTACAGTTTTGCTTCAAGATTTCTTCATTGTGTTGATATCATTCAAAAAGTAAAAATATAAATTTTCCTTTACATGGTAAGCCATTATTAAAGTACATGTTAATTAATGCAGCAGATTCATGTTTTTAGAATTCAATTGTTCCCAAAAGGTTCCGTTTCAGGATCCTCTAGAGAATAGATCCCGTAAGCCATGTCTATTATTAAAGCACGTGTTAATTAATGCAGCAGATTCATGTAGTTTCAGGATCCTCTAGAGAATAGATCCTAACTGCATGCTTCCTGTGGTATTAATTTCATCTCGCCTAAAATAATTTTAAAACGATTTCAAACCTCTCTTCATTCTTTACCGTCACAGATGTTTTTCTGCACGGCCACATTCCTCCTGCTGGTTTCAGCTCAAAGTTTGCTGCTCACGGAGGCAGGAAAATGTCCCAGAGTTTGCAGCTGTGACGGCACAAAACTCACCGTTTCCTGCATTGGCAAAAACCTCACAGCAGTTCCACCATCTATAGATGAGGTCAGAAGTCAAATGTTAAAGTTTTTTTAAATGTGTCTTTGAGCTGTGTGAAGCCAGTGTTGAGAACGTGTTAGATTCATCTTTACTGTCCTCACAGATCACGGTCAAACTCGACCTGAGAAACAACAACCTCCAGGTTCTGCCCAGGGGGGCATTCATACATACCCCCTACCTCACTCACCTCAACCTGCAGCGCTGCAACATTGCTAAGGTCAAAGAGGGGGCTTTTAGGACTCTGGGCCGTGTGGTCTCCCTGAACCTGGCCTACAATAAAATAGACATCCTGTACCAGGTAGGGAAGTCAGAGCAGAAGGCTGGGGTCCAGTAATGAAAACTGAAGTACAAAAAAAACAACAACTTTGTGCTTCACCTTCACCTCTGATGTCACTGCTGTAGGAATCCTTTGACGGCCTCTCCTCCCTGAAGGAGCTGCATCTGGACTATAATCGTATCGAGGAGGTCCAGCCTGGGGCTTTCACACAGCTGGGCTTCCTGAATATGCTGGCTCTCACCTACAACCAGCTGGTTTACATCCCAAACATGGCCTTTCAGGTACTCAAACACCAGCAGCGATAAATATATTAAAAAAACCTGCTGGATACATGAAGCATAACCATTACAAGATACTGCAACGTGATCCTATAATGGTCTGACCTCTGTTTCAGGGTCTGCAGAACATCAAGTGGCTCCGTCTCAGCCATAACTCACTGAACAACCTGGCCCCCGAGGCGTTTGCTGGTCTCTTCACCCTCGGCCGCCTCAGCCTGGACCACAACGAGCTGCAGTTCTTCCCCACTCAGACCATGACGAGGTATCACAGCTCAAAGTTATGGAGACTTCGTATGTTTAGAACATAAACTCTGGACTGTTTATATTTTTGTTTTGTTTTTTCAACTATACGATGAACATAGATTGCATGACGTTCAACTGTATTTTTTATATATTTTTAAAAATTAATTTCTGTTAACACCAACCTTATATGGTCACATTACCAAAGGAGATCTGTGGATTTGACACCAATAGAATTCATGTGTCTAGAGTCTGATATCTCCTCTCACGAGTCTCCTCATCCTGACGCAGACTCAGTGCCGTCACACGTCTGGATATGAGCTACAACCCTATGACCTACCTGGGAGAAGAATCCGTCTCCATGCCAAAGCTCACACACCTCTACCTGGACCACATGTCTCTGCAAGACCTATCGGATCAGGCTCTGTCTCATGCCCCTCTCCTGTCTCACCTGGACCTCAGCCACAATCAGCTTCGTTACCTGGAGCCGCTCACGGGCCCCAAAGAGCTGAAGAGCCTGAACCTGACAGGTACAACTAATTCTAGAAATGCAGTGTTTAGAGGGCTTAAAGGAAGGGAAGAATTCTAATGATCTCTCAATGATCTCTCAAGGAAACCCCATCTACTGTAACTGCTACCTGCGGCCCCTGAGGCAGTGGGTGAGTGCTGGGGGTTTGAAGCTGATGGGAGCATGCGCTGGACCTCCTCACCTCTCAGATGAACCCCTGCAGTCGGTGACTCCTCTGGATTTACGCTGTCGCAGCAGAGAAGAGGCCCTGACAGAGCCATCTGAGGAGGACAGTGAGAGCACAGGGGGCGCTGTGACCACGGCCAAACCCAAGCAGAAAGTCAAGTGTCCAGATAAATGTGACTGTGACGTGAGTTGAGGGACATGAAAGTCTTTAGGATGGATTAAAATAAGTGTGCGATCAAATCAGCAGATGTGAAAATGATTAAATAATCATGAAATTATTTACAATCTTAAACCATGCAAATAGAAGTAATTGCTTCACCAGCATCAATAAATCTCTCTTTCGTTGATTTCTTATTGCTTTTCTTCTTAGATTGAAGCTCAGCATGCCACATGCGAAGGTCAGGGTCACACCAAAATCCCACGTGGCTTCCCCGCCAAGACACAGCTCCTGGACCTCCGCAGTAACCACTTCCACTACCTTCCTGCGAAGATGTTTCCAGGCCTCAGCCAAGTTGTCTCCCTTCACCTGGAGCTCTGTAAAATCCATGAAATAGAAAGGGGTGCCTTCCAGGGGATGAAGCAACTTTTCTATTTGTACCTCTCTGACAATGACCTCACATCTCTGGATCCTGCCGCCTTCGCTGGATTGCCTGAGCTCACCTACCTTCACCTGGAAGGAAACCGGCTCACGCAGCTGCCCGGAGCAGGTGAGACAGGCTTTGTGTCAGTCAAAATAGAACACAGTGTTAAAGTCAAGATTCAAAACACAATGTTGTTGTGTGTCTTTCTGTAATTGTTTTTTTCTTCTCATTTAGCTCTGGCTCCCTTGTCAAATCTATTCGTGTTACACCTGGAGCGAAACGTCATTTCTAAACTAGAGCCTGCAGGTTTGACCTCATCAGTGACCCCTAAACTGAGGGAACTTTACCTAACAAACAACACCCTCACTGCTGTTACCAAGGGTGCTCTGGACTTTGCTTTCCTTGGTATACTTCATCTGGATTCAAATCAGCTAACCGAGGTGCCGACACAAGCGCTGTCCGATGTCCCCAATCTGGAGGAGCTCAATCTGTCTCACAACTTAATTCGCTTGGTGGAACCACGTGCATTCCAGCCTGTGTCCCAACAGCTGAAGAGGCTGTACATGGAGCATGCGGGCATGGAGAAGGTAAAAAGGACACAGACATATGAGCAGTTTGATCTTCATAGTAAATGTACAATTTCCATTGTTTTCCCAGTGGCTGTCTTCAACTAAAGGCTTAGTTCCTTTAGTTTCAGTTTGTTGATACTCTTTTACTTCATTGTCACGATACGCAGGACAATGTTAAAGATCCTTGTCTTGTTTTCCAGATGTCCAGAGAAGCTCTGGTGGGGCTGGGTGCAGAACTGAGGGCTCTCTCTGTGAGAGGAAACCGTCTTCAGGTGCTTCCTGACCTCAGTCCACTCTCTGGTCTGGAGGTGATCGATCTGCAGGACAACCCGCTGCTGTGTGACTGTGCTCTGCTGCCATTATACAGGTCAGTTCAGGGTTACAATGATATCAAGGTGTTTAAATTGCTTTCTAGTAAACAATTGGAGATTCATTCACTACAGGTAACAATAAACACATAGCCCTTTGTGTCTGGACTGCAGGTGGATGGAGAATGCAACTTTAGAGGGAAGTGCTACTTGTGGTCAGCCTCCTGAGCTCAAGGGTCAGAAGGTCAAGGATGTGCAGATCTTCAAGTCCTGTCCAGGATTAACTAACACTACACCTCCTCCACGTGCAGAGCTTACTGTGGACCTCAGAGCAAAGAAAGCCAAAAAACTCAGACCTAATCTTTCACAGCCTGCTGAAGTCAAAACTAAACCTTCAAAGCCAAAAGTTAAACCAAACAAAGCTATTAAGAAACAACCTCAGAGAAAGACCTCGTCATCCAAACACCCAACAAAGAAAGATAAAAAGACATTAGGATAAATCTGATTGTGTTCAGCTCTTACAGTTATCCCCAGGTTAATGGCAATGATAACAGTTTGCGCAGTTTTTTGTCTTAAATAAAGATCTTTTTATACGACATTGTTGGGGTTCGTCTTTTTTTTTTGTTTGTTTGTTTTGTTTGTTTCGTGTGTTTTGTTATCTTTGCATCATTCTCTCCATAGATCTAAAAAAAAACACTTACGACGGAAATATTAACTATATATTCTGTGACTTAATTCCGTAGCGTCATATGGTTCCATGGTGTAATGGTTAGCACTCTGGACTCTGAATCCAGCGATCCGAGTTCAAATCTCGGTGGAACCTGACTTTTTTTTTTACTGATCGCAAAATCAACGGTTTACAATAAATCCTCCCGACCCTTTGTTTTTGTTTTTTAACCTTCACTGATCGCAAAATGATCAACGGTTGACAATAAATCCTCCCGACCCTTTGGTTTTGTTTTTTAATCTTCTCATGCGACACAATTAGCTGCGGTCCGTTTATTTTTATAATTACTATTTTTTTCCAGACATGACATTAGTGATTCTAGTCCAGAGTTGTTCACTTTCAGCAGTGTCTTTTGTCAAAACGGGTTTTAGCAAGTAGAGCAAAGTTTTAAAGTTATAAATGCAACTAACAACGATTAAAATGTAATTGTAAGTGTAAGTGTAAGTGTTTCAATGTGAATCAATGAGTGGACTGTTAAAACGGGTTTTAGCAAGTAGAACAAAGTTTATAAAGGAAGTTTATAAAGTTATAAATGCAACTAACAACGAGTAAAATGTAATTCGTTATCATGTTTCAATGTGAATCAATGAGTGGACATCTTAAGAAAGGCAACAGCAAGGACAGAAAACATCTAATACTATTTCAGAGTCCGAGAACAACTCCTGGCGGTCTAAAGTAAGTCACCGAACAGTCAGAACAGTTGTATCCGAGTCTACAGTGCACACTTAAATAAATAGTATTACATTCAGCGTTTGGGACGTGTCAGGTTAACCAGCGAGGTTTAACGTTAAACATCAGCAAAACAAATGACTCATCATTTTTCCTTTGATATAAACTAACAACAAATAAGGTGAGTGGCGAAATAAAGAAATATTACACACATACAAGAGTCCTTTCAAGAGATACAGGGGGACAACGTGATCATCAACTGTAGAGGGCACCACGTTGCACCATTACACCAGCGAAGAAGCCGTACAACGCCACAAAGGAAGAACTTCATCGTCCATCATGGCAGCAGCTATGGATGTCGATACGCCGAGTGGCACTAACAGCGGGGCGAGTAAGAAAAGATTTGAAGTGAAGAAGGTATAGTTGTGTTCTTTTGTCTTGTCAGGTTCACGTTCCTCCAACAACAGCATCGCAAAATAACCCATATTATATGTCGCAGCTACGTACTAGCTAAGCATCCTTAGCATTAAGCCGCTAACAAGTTAGCGGTTAGCCTGATTCAAACAGGGCATGATATGGCACTTCTGCTTTTAAGGACGGGGTACTTTTTTCATATGTCGAGGTCAGATGTAAAGGAAATAGTCGCAAATGTTGATTTTAATAGAATAATTCTGTCCTCTAGTATGTTTACGCGAACTCTCGTGTCGTTTTTGTGTCAAAGCGGCCAATAACAGATAGCCTAGCTAGGTTACGTTTTTTTAATGTACAGCAGTAAAGGTGAGTCAACAGTTTTATTTTAATAATTTTGGACATAACATGTTACGATACGTATACATGAGTTGTTGTCATACTATTTTCGGTGCGGTTTAATTGTTTCCCAATTGGTAAAATACCTTCTGTGATTTTTTTTTTAAAATTTAACTAAATATTAGAATTTTAATATGTGGCACTGCTTACGTTACCTGTCAAGATAATTTGTAAAATGTGCCCGTTGTTTATTTTTCCACAAGTGGAACGCTGTGGCACTGTGGGCATGGGACATTGTTGTGGATAACTGTGCTATCTGTCGAAACCACATCATGGATCTATGTAAGTTGTCTTTCAAATGTATACTTTTATGTTCGTTTTTTTAAACATATGTGGCAGTAACGTTTCATGGATTTAACGAACAACTCCCTCCTCCCAACAGGCATAGAATGCCAGGCTAACCAAGCTTCTGCAACCTCTGAGGAGTGCACTGTAGCCTGGGGTGTTTGCAATGTGAGTTTCTAAACCTGTCATTGGCAGGTGTCTACATCATTTTGACATCATCAGTTCATATCTCCATAATACCAGCACCAGATTAATTATTATTCTTTCTCTTCACAGCACGCGTTCCACTTCCACTGTATATCTCGTTGGTTAAAAACCAGACAGGTGTGTCCTCTGGACAACAGAGAGTGGGAGTTTCAGAAGTGAGTATCAGTGTTTATGTATAATTTCAAATATTATCGTTGAAAGTACAGATACTGTATGTATCTGTATGGCTCTGGTGCAATGTATGCTAATCAACTGTGTAATAACATTTTATACTTATACTTTCATTTGTCATTTTGCAGATATGGACACTAGCAGACCACCTCATCTTCACTTGCTTCAACCAACAAGATCACTGTCTTTTTATCCCTACCCTGCTCCTGAACCTTGTTATTTTATAGTATCTACCTGTGCACACATAAATGCCGTCACATTAGTTTGCTTGTGTGAGAAAACATCAGTTCTAGGTATTCTGAGGCTGCATACACAATAAAGGGCCTCCATTACAGCAGATTCATAGTAGTTAAAATAAGTCATAGTTTCATGATTTCAAATAAAAAAAAATCTTTCTGTTGCAGTTCTTCAGGCTCAAATTACTTAAAACAGTGTCTTCAAATAAACTTTGATGTACGGTAATTGCAATTGTTAAATTGATGTCCTCACAAAATAAATGGATAATCACCTGTTTTGTTGCATTTTTGGAAAAGTTAAGATGAGGTTCTGGTCTGTTTGAGACCAAAGGAAAAGAGATCTGAAAAGCAGAAATGTTTGCTTTCTGCATGAAGGGATATGTCAAAATATGTAATTATTACTTTGCTCCCATTATGGAGCATTTAAGAAAAACCCACACTTGAACAAAGTCACGGCCAATTGCCTTGGATCTCCGTCATGGAAAAGTGCACTTGAGTGCCACTCAAAGTATCTTATTAGCGAAGTCAACTAGATACTTTGACCTGACTTTACAATCAGAAGCTTAAATTAATGACCAAACTGGAACAAATTAAAAAAAAAAACAAATTTACCACATTTGCAGCAATGTATTTTATTGTCAAAGAAGTAAAAAAAAAACAAACAAATTTACCACGTATGCAGCAATGTATTTTATTGTCAAAGAAAGTTTTTTTTTTTTTGCATCAAATGAAAATTAACAAAACTGCCGAAGTTAAGATTTCGGCTCAGTCCAGAGGAAGATTAAATAGTATTCCATTTTATTGTATTAAGTGCCTGTAAAAGTGTTTGTTAACTGAGCTGTTGAACCTTCAGATCAAAGAAGAAGAAAAAAAAAAATCAACCTGTTAAGTGTAGACCCGTCTGAGAAGCTTCAGATGGTTTGTCTCTGCTGAAACGTCAAGTGCTAAAAGGCTGATTCAGAACATTAAGTAACAATTCTCACACTCAGGACTTTAGACTTATTAACCTGTCACCCACTCCCATGTCTGAGCTGCACACAGTGGAATATTAGTCAAGCTCTTCACATGGCTTCTCCCAACCAGCGCTCGACCTCATTGATGTCGTCTCTTTATGGCTGTGGTGGAGCTCCAAACTTGGAGCTCAGCTTGGTGATGATTGCCATTATTTTTGGGTTGCTCTGGTACTTGGAGATGTTGGCTGGGTTCTGCGAGACATCCTGGAAGGCAGTCATCACCTCAGGATCCTGGAGAGGGTAAATGGAGAGGCCATGTTAACTGTTATCTGATTTTCAACAGAAGGACCCCAGAGATATTTGGAGGCGTTTCTATTACCTGCATGGCACTGAGGAGTTCAGGGTCCTTCAGTAAATCACCCAAACCTCCCATGCCACCTGGTGCTCCACCTGGGAATCCAGCTCCACCTGGGAATCCAGCAGCACCTGCATAACAATTACACGAATGTTAAGCCCTGGTAACTCAAGAAATTAAATATACAAAATTGTAATACATTTTCCAATCTTTCTGTGGAAATAACTGCTGTCCATCTCTCAACCCATCTTTCAATGAAAAAAACAGTTCAGTCTCCTACCTGGGAAGAATCCTCCTCGGGGCTGTCTTGCTTCCTCCTCCTGTTTGGACAAAAAAAAGAGATTGTTTTCATGGTTCAGAGTGAAAATGTAAATAATATTTTAAGTATAAGTGAGTGAACTCACCCTCTGAGCACGAGCGTGCTCCTCTCTCGCCTTTTTTACTCTCTCCTGCTTCTCCTTAATCTCCTTCTCTTCTCTTTTGCGCTCGTACTTGCGTCTGTGCTCAATGATCCTGTTTGCCTAAAAGAAATAAAAAAATACAGTTACATCCATAATCTTTGCATTTAACTCTCAGAATCAAGGGTGAGAAAACAAATAACATAATCTTTGCATTTAACTCTTACACTCAGAATCAAGGGTGAGAAAACAAATACAAATCACAAATGCACATAAAGCTGTGTACTAATAAACACTTTACTGCGTTTAAATGAGGCTGCATGACACCATAACTATCTCTATTTTAGTCTTTTAGTGTTACCTTAGGCTGAACTTCCTTCAACATAGCACTGGCGTCCTCATCATAGTCCAGTTTACAGGTCATAGCCAGGTCCTTGGCTGCCTCCTCCCAGTGACCCAGCAGCCTGCCACAGCACAAACACAATAAAACATCAACGTGTTCCTGTGAGATCACAATGAATCGGTTCACTGTCGGAAACTTAAGGTCTGGGGGAAAAAAAAAAAAAATGTTTTTAACTGACACTTACCTGTGAGCTTTCCCTCTCCACTTGTAAGGCTGTGCAGAGTCTGGGTTGATGCTGATGGCTTTGTCACAGTCTCTAATGGCTGCATTTGGTTTCTGCATCTTGATGAAGACACTAAAAATATAAGGAACAAATCATTTTATTTTTTCAGCCTCCCTTTTGAATAACACAGAAATGGAGTGAGTGTCAGCCCATAATAGCCTGCTGTTTCTATCCGTCTCCCTCTCACCTCGCTCTCTTGGCGTACAGAATGGCTACACAGGGGTTCAGCTTGATGGCTTCAGTAAAAAGTTCCACAGCTTTCTGCAGGTCACCTGAAATCATGGTAAAAGAAGGGTATTAGAGATCATACAGAGAATTCAGAGCAGTTTGATCTGAAAATATTTTGGTCACATGTTCAGTCACTATCTCTAATACATATGATGTTTGTGAGAGAAATCTCTACGAACCTTCGCCCAGAGCATTAATGGCCTCTACTTTCTTCTCATTGGCCTGGTCCATCATCTCCTCTGTCACCTGAGATGAAATTAATGGAAAAAAAATGTGTTGTAAAGTTCAAAATGTGGAGAAAAGAGCATTTAGCTGAATAAAAAGTTTAGTTTTACCTCTATGTCTTCAACGTCCTCCATCTCCTGTGGTTCCAAGATGTCAGGCTCGATCACACCCTCTTGGTCAATTTCTAAAAGAGTACAGACAGAAACTAAAGTTTTCCTTTTCTTTGACAAAAAGGTTGTAATAATAAGAAAGAATTAAGTTATTCACACATTACAATATGAAGCAGTTTATTTAGTCCCTTAGGGTTTTTTTTTAATTTATTTTGTAGTTGTAACACCAGTGTCATTTTACATTTATGATAGATGCTGTGTTTCTTGTTTCAACTTTTTTATTCATCTGGTAAACATTTTTAAGCTGTGAACAGATGGGGAATGCATGGACAAACCTATTTCACTCTCTTCGCTCTCAGAT